CTCGCATCCCTTTCTCCGCACCTTCTTCCTGCATACAAAATCCCATTGTTCCTACACTCCGAAGAACAATACCCATTAACATATTTCGGCCGAATATTCCAGCGATTCGGTAAACATTCATTTGGAAGTTCGAACGGCAAGCCCGGTCGTGCTAATTCTCGCGGATCATTGATGCGTGCTAATTGTGCGTAGAGAAGGTAACAGTTGGGTCCTGCGTGGAGAGTGCGGTGGCCGCAAAGGGGCTCTATGCTCCAGTAATTGCACATTTGATTGGTTTTGGTTCAGATGAGAGATCTAACAAGTATGAATCTGGGGGCTTAGGACTGAGAGCTAGATGAATTGTAGATGTTGATCGATTCGAACGGGAAGGGAGGAAGATCAATGATCACACTTGCAATCCAAAAATTGTTCAAAAGAAGACTTCGGGATACGAAGCTACAAGAAGTATACTTATACCGGAAACACAAGCTCTCTCACTATTCTCCTATAACTCAAAACTCCCATCATTGATCAATGTGACACACTTGCTCTTTACAATATGAGTCTTCATTTGCTGTACGCAAAGAATACTCTTCGCTGTAAGGCGGGCCATCATCCCCGGTTATTCAAACGGCGCACTATTCATAGAAAATCCTCCGACAACAAGCAAAAGATGCGAGCAGATAGCTACTCCTCTAATCAGAACTTCACCATCATATAGATTGCGAAGAGGTGATGTTGATGCTTGAGTTTGGCATTTTGCAAACCTCAAACGGCTACACAAAAAGATGAGTTAGTGGGTCCTGCGTCAGCTGTTTGCTGAATCTCTGACTGTGATGAAGATTGTTTCATGCATGGTATTAAGTGAAGAATGAGAAGATTGATACGGGCAAAGAAGATTTTGTGTTACTCTAATCGGAAGAAACAGTTTGCTAAAGAAGGTCACGGGAAGCTAGGATTCTGCTCAACAAATTTCTGAAACAATTTCGTAAATTTTCAATGATTCTAGCTCTAATAAGATTGGGTATAATGAAAAGACAAAATGGCACTTGGAAACTATTGTGGCAAGTTCTTCTTGAGTCTTTCTTCGTATCGTCCAAAATCTGGAATATCGGGGGTTGAAGCAGCTGAGATACTTTGACCATTAGCCTTGCTGTTTAGTTCTGCTGTGATTGCATCAACATCAACATTGAGATAATCTCTCAAAAATTTGCCGACTTCGATATTTTCGTGGTTTCCACGAAGTACATCAGCACCATAGCCATATATGTTGACATCAACAGCAGAGTGGCCGTGAGTTGACCAACCGATCTGTGCTCTGCGGCTGATGATATCGGCAAAAGCATAAGCAGAAAGTGCCGGATTGTCAAGTACGCGATCGATCTCTTCCTCACTCGCGTCCATAACCCCGAGACCTTTCTTAATGAGATCTTCTTTCACGAATCGCCTACTCAAGGGGCGTCCATTGGTAATCGCTTCGGAAGAAGCAACATGAGCCCTTAGAACCCTAGAAAGATACTCTGATGAATGGGAAGCATTTGCCAACACTTCAGGGTACCATAAATATTGAGGGTATGATGGATTAAGTTCTGGATATGAATTAGCAATAGCTCATGGGTATGGTGAGCTGGTATATCTTACGTCTTGCAACAGCTAAGCCTCCAGTCTCGTGGTCACTTGTAGCAACAAGAGCGCCTTCAGTATCGCTCTTGTCCAGGAAATCGACCACACTTTGGAAAGCTCGATCATAGGCAAGTACTTCGTGAACTTGGGCAGCCTAAAAAAAACTAGTCAGTCATACTACTCGTACTGAGACTTGCTATGTCGCCTCCAAGTGATCCATAGTAACTTACTGGGTCGTTTCCATGGCCGGCATGATCGATTCGACTTCCCTCAATCATGAGAAAGAAACCCTTATCACTATCCTTGGTTGCAGCTTCAAGTGCGGTCAAAGCTGTTCTTGCCATTTCATCAAGGGAAGGATAGATATCGTTCATGTTTCGTCGATCAAGCTCGAAAGGGATATCTGTATCAGAAAATAGACCCAAAAGTGGCAGCTGAACCTTCTTTCCAAGCTTCAACTCGTCAAAATCCTCTCTGGTATCAATGTATGTCCACCCGTATTTGTCTTGCGCCAATTTTGTGACATCGCGATCATCAGCTCTGCAACTAGATTCTGATGTGTTGGGCAGGAAGTGACAGCGTCCACCGCCTAACATCAAATCAACAACTCGATGTCCAAGAGGATGTTCCCCAACCTCTTGTAAAGCTATCGAGTCCTCCTGCATTCGGTAATCAACGTGTGAGGCAAAGCAAGCTGGAGTCGCGTCCGTTATATCTGTTGTAACAACCACTGGAGGAGTTAGCACTTCAATGTCTGAATGAACATGGCAGATGTTTACTTACAGCCTGTGGTATAACCAGCTCTCTTCGCAGCTTCGAGTACAGTACCACATGGGGTGTGATCAGGCAACATAGAAATTGCGCCGTTATAGCTTTTTCTTCCACAACTAAATGCAGTAGCTCCCGCCGCACTATCTGTGACAAGACTGCTGCTCGATCTCGTGCGCGACGAACCGATAAAATGTTGATCGAGTTGAAGAATGTCATCGATGGGCAGATCTCCTTGGAATTGTCGGAAGCTTCTCGTCAAACTCAAAGATGCCGGGCCCATTCCATCGCTCACCATGAAAATAAGATTGCGCTTTCCATTTTGCTTTGTCTTCTTTGGAGCTTGATGGCTTTGCGACAATAAAACGCCTAGGATGATGACAGCAGCAGTAGCAACAACAGCCCAGGTAAAGAGCCCAATTTCTCTCCAGAATCCAGGTCTCTTGGATTCGTAGGAATTCTTCCGTCGATTACCAAGAAGCGCATCGTCTTCTGCCGCAGCTCTTTCTTCGGAATTGGAGGAAGAGGGTCTGCCTGACGCGAACAGCGGACTGTTATTATTCGGCGCCATTAGGTGTTGCGCTGAGGTTGTCAAGTTGTATGTATGAATAAGATTCACCTATCGTTGAAAGGTATGAGTTCGCAGACAGATACTTACCACTGGGGTTGGTAACTTAATGATGTCAGCCCGGTTTTGAGACAGCAGAGCTCACTAGGCACGGCAAGCAAGTGTCAGGGCGCTATTTTGTCTGGGCAACCAACAGATCGGTGTACAGGAAGTGTCAGGCAGATCTTCGCAACACGCACACCAATCTTTCAATTCGAGTACAGACATCAATAGTAGAGCTTCCGAGAACTTGATGAGAGAAACGATATCTGCCTACCGATAAGACCTAGCATTTATGGAATTTAGAGAACAGTCAGTTATCACTTGGTATCAAAACTCGTTAATGCAAGGTCGCGTAAGTTATGTGAATAAGTATTTGGGACTGCGACTGATTAATCACTTCTTGATACCAGAGAGCATGATTTTGTTGCCTTTACCTAGTTGTCAAATATCTGAAAAGAGCGATTTCTGCTTGGTCAATATTCATGAATGGATTTGCAGCTGGTAGGTAGAATTTTCAGCGTAAATTTTGAATAAAGGGAAATTGAGATGAAACAAATATCACGATGCGGAGGTCACGACGTCACACATTGGTGAAACCTATACATAGTTCCAAAAGGCTGCTGGGGCTGTATTCAAGACTTTTCTGGTTTGGTATTGAAGATGTGCATCTTCCCGGTTGTCTGATTTGTCGAATGGATTTCATCATGGGATGATACACTCGGCTCACATAGTCGTAGGAAAAGGCGAACATTGTCTTTGCAATATCTTCATAAATTGCTCGAAAACCCCGATTAATTGCCTGCTTCACTAACCGGTGAACAGATCCAAATCGAACCCCATTCACTTTTATGCATTCTGACGCCAACCTCACAATGGACGGGCACTCAGTGTAGTCGAAGCTCATGAATTGGTGGAAGCCCTGAGATTTATACAGCTATTTCCTGCTGCGATTCATTCCAGCCTTCCCAGTCAAACACCAAAGGACCCAGAACTAATCAACCGCTTAACGCTTCTTTTGTTGGGACTCCTTGAGGACCTTCTTGACAATCTTCTGCTCCTCAATCAAGAAAGCTCTGACGATACGATCTCTAACGCAGTTGGCACATCTTGATCCTCCGTAGGCACGTTGAACAGTCTTCTTTGGGCGGGAGATCTGGGAGTATTCGCGGGGTCGGAGGGCTGGGATCTACAGGAAATGAATTAGCATTTCCATAACCAATTTTCTATAATCAAAAGCCCGTCGTAATCAACCATCGCTGCTTTCAAGAGCCTGGAGCCCATATATTGGCCATCGCTAAGTAACAACTGGTGCGATGTAGAAAGATGCTTCGCGCTTGTATTCCAACTTGGCGAGCGAGTTTTCGAGTTTTCGCTTTTTCCTCCTCCCTTGTAATTTAATCGAAAGATATCAACTTACACCTGGCAATTTGATTCCGCAGTCACCGCACTTTGGTGCAGTACCGGCCTTCTTGATGTGGAGATAACGAAGCTCGCCGCCGGGGGTCTTAACAACTCTGACCTTGTTGGATCGAGTGTTGTATCTATTTTAATTAATATTTGGCTCTTCTTCCAACGTTGAATAATTGAAACTCACGGGTTTCGGCGTCTGTAGGTCAATCTGTTGGACGACATGTTGGCGAATTTCTGGTTCGGAGGTCGATTGAGGTCGTTGGCGTTGTCGATTGAATCTTGAGTTTTGTCAAATTGAACAAATTCTTCGTGCGCGATAACTCGCTAGAGCTATCACGCTTATAGTTAGATCATTCACGTGCTAATCCGACAGCCCTTGTACTTTGTGCTTACATCAGCACCTTAAGACTCAGGCAACAAGAATTAAAGATTAATTGAACGGATGCGCTAGCGGGCATTTCCTTAAGCTCTCCGTGTAGCGTTAAAATTTATCTAAACGCGCTCGCGACAACACAATTATCAACTTTATACCCATCAACGACAAAGTGAAGTTCTATTCAGAAGGCGACTTGTTGATGGAATTTGGGACTTTGTACCCAAGACATTAAAAATGTCATCAATTCCACCACCTCCCCCGCCTGGATGGAGCTCTTCTGCGCCTCCATCCATGCCTTTGGGCGCGCCACCTGGTGCTCCTCCTCCTCCAGGTTATCGACCACCGGCGGATCCACATGTTGCGAAGTTTGCACAGAAGAAGAAGGATTGGTTACGAACACAGCGAAATCGATTCGGCGAAAAACGAAAGGGTGGTTTTGTAGAAACTCAGAAAGCTGATATGCCACCAGAGCATCTGCGAAAGATCGTTAAGGACATTGGAGATGTATCACAAAAGAAATTCAGCAGTGATAAACGAAGTTATCTCGGTGCACTCAAATTCATGCCACATGCCGTGATGAAATTGCTGGAGAACATGCCAATGCCTTGGGAGTCTGCGAGGGAGGTTAAGGTGCTGTACCACGTCAACGGTTGTCTGACTTTGGTTAATGAAATACCAAGAGTTATCGAACCAGTGTTTCATGCCCAATGGGCTACGATGTGGATTTGTATGAGAAGAGAAAAGAGTGATAGACGGCATTTCAAGAGAATGAGATTTCCGCCATTCGATGACGAAGAACCACCCCTTTCGTGGTCGGAGAATATCGAAGATGTCGAACCACTGGAACCAATTCAACTGGAACTCGATGAAGGAGAGGATGCTGCTGTCTTAGAATGGTTCTACGAAAATCGACCACTACTTGACACGCCACATGTCAACGGCCCGAGTTATAAGGAGTGGAACCTTACTTTACCTCAAATGGCGACTTTATATCGATTGAGTCGACAATTACTGAGTGATTTGGTCGACAAGAACTACTTTCACATGTTCGAATTGAAGAGCTTTCAAACAGCCAAAGCTTTGAATGTTGCAATTCCTGGTGGTCCACGTTTTGAACCTCTGTACAAAGATGTGGATCCTAACGATGAAGATTTCGGAGAGTTTAATGCAATCGATCGCATCATCTTCCGAGCTCCAATTCGAACAGAGTATCGTGTAGCATTTCCTTACTTATACAATTCACTACCTCGTAGCGTTAAGCTTTCCTGGTTTTCGCACCCGCAAGTGGTATATGTTCGTGCTGAGGATCCAAGTTTACCGGCATTCTATTTCGATCCCGTTATCAACCCAATATCTTCCAGATCTGTTGCCCCCAAAAACATCACCATCAGTCACGAAGACGAAATATTTGGTCCAGGTAGCAATGAAGAGCCAGAAGAAGACGCTTTCAGACTACCAGGCGATGCTGAGCCATTTCTCGCGGACGAGGAGTTATACACTAGCGAAACAGCTTCAGCCATTTCCCTGTGGTGGGCACCTTTCCCGTTCGATCGAAGATCCGGTCGCATGGTTCGGGCACAAGACGTACCTCTAGTTAAGCAGTGGTATCTTGAGCATTGCCCTCAAGGTCAGCCAGTAAAGGTTCGAGTTTCATACCAGAAGCTTCTGAAGACTTATGTCTTGAACGAGCTGCATAAGAGGAAGCCAAAAGCACAAAGTAAACAAAGCTTGATGAAATCGTTGAAGCAAACGAAATTCTTCCAGCAAACAACAATTGATTGGGTTGAAGCTGGACTTCAAGTCTGCAGGCAGGGTTTCAATATGTTGAATCTTCTCATTCATCGCAAGAACCTTACATACTTACATCTTGATTATAATTTCAATTTGAAGCCTGTCAAGACACTGACAACAAAGGAGAGAAAGAAGTCTCGATTCGGAAATGCGTTCCATCTGATGCGTGAGATTCTGAAAATGACAAAGTTGATTGTTGACGCACAAGTTCAGTATCGTCTTGGCAATATCGACGCTTTTCAACTTGCAGATGGTATTTTATACGCTTTCAATCACGTCGGTCAGCTGACTGGAATGTACCGCTATAAGTATAAGCTGATGCATCAAATTCGTTCGTGTAAAGATTTGAAGCATTTAATCTATTATCGATTCAACTCTGGGCCAGTAGGCAAAGGACCTGGTTGCGGCTTCTGGGCACCTGCTTGGAGAGTTTGGCTCTTTTTCATGCGTGGTATAATTCCATTACTTGAAAGATGGCTTGGAAACCTCCTTTCTAGGCAATTTGAAGGACGTCACAGTAAAGGTGTTGCAAAGACAGTTACAAAACAACGTGTAGAGTCGCACTTTGATCTTGAATTGCGAGCATCGGTTATGGCCGATCTTCTTGATATGATGCCGGAGGGTATTAAGCAAAACAAGGTTCAGACTGTACTTCAACATCTTTCAGAGGCATGGAGATGCTGGAAGAGTAATATTCCTTGGAAGGTTCCGGGTTTACCAGCACCTATCGAGAATATCATTCTTCGTTATGTGAAGAGTAAGGCGGATTGGTGGATTTCCGTCGCTCACTACAATCGTGAGCGTATTCGCCGGGGAGCAACTGTCGATAAAACAGTTGCAAAGAAGAACCTTGGTCGTCTCACGAGACTTTGGCTCAAGGCCGAACAAGAGAGACAACACAATTATATGAAGGACGGCCCATACGTCTCTTCTGAAGAAGCTGTCGCCATCTATACAACCACTGTTCATTGGCTGGAGTCACGAAAATTCTCGCCCATTCCATTCCCCAGTGTTTCATACAAGCACGACACCAAAATCCTTATCCTTGCGTTGGAACGACTTCGTGAAGCATACTCTGTCAAGGGACGACTAAACCAGAGCCAGCGTGAGGAATTGGCCTTGATTGAGCAAGCTTATGATAGTCCTGGAACTACTTTGGAGAGAATCAAGCGCTTCCTACTAACACAGAGAGCTTTTAAGGAAGTCGGAATTGATATGAACGACAATTATAGCACGATTAACCCTGTGTATGATATCGAACCCGTGGAGAAGATCAGTGATGCCTATCTAGACCAATACCTCTGGTATCAAGCCGATCAACGCCATCTTTTCCCAGCCTGGATCAAGCCTTCCGATTCCGAAGTCCCACCCTTGTTAACCTACAAATGGGCTCAAGGTATCAACAACCTCGACAAAGTTTGGGAGACTGCAGATGGAGAGTGCAACGTCATGATCGAAACACAACTATCTAAGGTGTATGAGAAGATCGATCTGACTCTTCTTAATCGTCTACTTCGACTCATTATGGATCACAATCTGGCTGATTACATATCATCTAAAAATAACGTTCAACTGACCTACAAAGACATGAATCACGTGAACAGCTACGGAATGATCAGAGGTCTTCAATTCTCGGCTTTCGTTTTCCAGTACTATGGACTTGTTCTCGATCTCTTATTACTTGGTCTACAGCGCGCTAGTGAAATTGCCGGTCCACCAGCAGGTCCTAACGACTTCCTTCAATTCCGCGACCGCGAGACGGAAACGAGACATCCCATTCGTCTATATACTAGATATATTGATCGCATTTGGGTATTCTTCCGCTTCTCGGCTGATGAATCACGCGATCTCATCCAGCGTTTCCTTACAGAGCAACCGGATCCTAATTTCGAAAATGTAATCGGCTACAAGAACAAGAAATGTTGGCCAAGAGATTCTAGAATGCGTCTTATGAGACACGATGTCAACCTGGGACGTGCTGTCTTTTGGGACTTGAAGAACCGCTTACCAAGATCTGTTACTACAATCGAATGGGATGATACTTTTTCAAGTGTATACAGCCGAGATAACCCTAATTTACTTTTCTCTATGTGCGGTTTCGAAGTTCGAATTCTCCCTAAGATTCGTAACCAAAATGACGAATTCCCGGTCAAGGACAGCGTCTGGTCCTTGGTCGATAATACCAGCAAGGAGAGAACGGCGCATGCATTCTTGCAGGTAACCGAGGAGGACATTGCCAAATTCAACAATCGCATTCGTCAAATTCTGATGTCCTCAGGTTCGACTACATTCACGAAGATCGCTAATAAGTGGAACACTACTTTGATCGCCCTCTTCACATACTATCGTGAAGCAGCTGTATCCACGGTCAACTTGCTAGATACCATTGTGAAATGTGAAACGAAGATTCAGACCAGAGTTAAGATCGGTCTTAATTCTAAGATGCCTTCTCGTTTCCCTCCTGCGGTTTTCTACACCCCTAAGGAACTTGGCGGTCTCGGTATGATATCTGGATCACATATCCTCATTCCTACAAGTGATAAAAGATGGTCCAAGCAAACCGATGTTGGTGTTACGCATTATCGTGCAGGCATGACTCATGACGAAGACACTCTTATTCCTAATATTTTCAGATACATCATACCATGGGAAGCAGAATTCATTGACTCTCAGCGTGTGTGGACTGAATACTCTCAGAAACGTCAAGAGGCAAATCAACAAAACCGAAGATTGACACTGGAGGATCTTGAAGATAGTTGGGATCGTGGATTACCTCGTATTAACACTCTTTTCCAAAAGGATAGGAGCACTTTGAGTTTCGACAAAGGATTCCGCGCGCGTACCGAGTTCAAGACATACCAACTTATGAAGAGTAATCCATTCTGGTGGACTAGTCAACGTCATGATGGTAAATTGTGGAACCTTAACGCCTATCGTACCGACGTTATTCAAGCGCTTGGTGGTGTCGAAACCATTCTTGAACACACACTCTTTAAGGCGACAGCATTTCCATCCTGGGAGGGCCTATTTTGGGAAAAAGCGTGTCTTGCTTGGGATACGAGAGTCTTACGATACGACGGTAGCGACGTCGTCGTTCAGGACGTTAAGGAAGGGGATCTACTTCTCGGTCCGGACGGCGAACCCCGTCGAGCCTTCAATATCGTCAGTGGCAAAGACAGGCTTTACCGAATCAAGGTCGGTTCACGTAAAGAAGACCTCGTTGTCACGGGAAACCATATTCTAATCCTCCACCGGGAGAAAGGAGAAGAAGAGATCGAGGATGGCAACGACGAGGGAGAAAATACACTGACTCTCCAGAATTTCCAAATTACCGCATCCCGAGACGTTTCCTCCACCGAACGCTACGACACAGTTCTAATGACAGCAACCCAGTTCGCAGAATTGGACGAAAATGAGAGATCTAAGCACAGGCTCTTTCGTTCTCCTGGGTTCGAGTTGCCCGAGCAAGATGTCCCGGTCAACCCCTACTTTCTTGGTCTCTGGTTAGGAGATGGCAGCCGTAGCTCGACCACAATCTTCAGTAATCACGAGCACGAAGTCAGGGAGTTTCTCGTTTCTCATGCTGCGGAGTTAGACCTTCACCTTGTTTGGCACGGAAGCCTCTCATATCCGACTGTTGCCAGTACTCGCATTGCTAACAGACCCTTGCCAAAAGCCAATATCGACGTCGTCGATGTGCAGAAGCTTGTCGATGGCATGGATAACTTAACTTCATCGCCTATTCCTTCATCACCACCCGTTATTCCAGCTGACTCGATTCCAACTGAAGCTCTGCCACAGCTTAGATCCGATAGAGGCATTATGGAAATGGCTGGCCCGTCTATAGTCCCCGAAGAACCTGTAGATGTCAATGATATGTCCGAAGATGAGGAAGATGAGCTCGATATGGAACTTATCGAGACAATTAGCGACGACGAGGATGATATCACTGAGTACCAAGCCGAAAATGACGAAGAACCCAGCGACCGAACTGGGAATATTAATCTCTCGGATGACTCTGTCTCTCAACGACGAATCCATCGCTTACAAAGTGGACGTCGAGCATACGGTGACTTGCAGCCTGAAGAGCAAGACCAGCTCCTGAGTCAGATAATCGACACGGTCGATTCTCCAGCCGGTTCGTTCGATCCTTCGGTCGGTCGTAAAACAGGTGTTAATACCCTTCTACGTGCCCTCCAACAGCTTGGTGTGTCTTGTAAAACTACTGGACCCGAGGCTCACAAGAAGCACATCCCGTCGATTTACATGAAGAACACGCGCGAAGTTCGTCTCGCTGTTCTTGCTGGTCTGATTGATTCTGACGGCTGGTACGTATATCCCGAAAATATGCTTGGGTTCGCACAGAGGCATAAGACTCTCTTTTGGGACGTTGTTGCCCTGGCAAGATCATTGGGTCTCAGCGTCTGGACCACGAAATGTATGAAGTGGGATCCGAGCCATTCACGAAAAACTCCTGAACTCGTAGCCCAGATATCTGGCAACGTGAAAGAAGTGCCCTGTTTACTCCTACGCAAGAAGGGATCTGAGCGTTATATTCCGCAAACGCACAGCTTCAAGATCAAAGACATCTCCCTTGAATCCGAGGCAACGAAGTGGGCTGGGTTCCGAGTCGATAAAGACCAGCTGTATCTCCGTCACGATTACCTTGTACTCCATAATAGCGGGTTTGAAGAGTCAGTAGAACCTTTTTACCCTGAAATACATACCAAAATTGGCTAACTTTTGATTTTTAGGTCTATGAAGTTCAAAAAGTTGACTAACGCTCAAAGATCGGGTCTCAACCAGATTCCTAATCGACGATTTACTCTTTGGTGGTCACCTGTAAGTTATATTATTCCAATCCCTATCTTGCCTGAGAGGGTATTTGATTGTCAAGCTCAATTTGAGACATTGAGAAGTATTCTCAAGCATAATTTGTTTTACAACATTCTATTCAATTTAGAATATTGAAAATATTCTCAAGCAAAGTTTGCTTTAAAATATTCTATCCAATTTGAAATAACGAAAAGCCTTCTGAGGCAAAATTTACTTTATAATGTCCTATTCATTTGAAGTCGTGAACACAAGCTGACATCTAGTTAAAATTCAGACTATCAACAGAGCCAACGTTTACGTTGGTTTCCAAGTCCAATTAGATCTTACTGGTATTTTCTTGCACGGAAAAATTCCAACTTTGAAGATTTCTCTCATCCAAATCTTCCGCGCCCATCTTTGGCAGAAGTAAGTTTAACATGTCCACTAGTTTTTCCTTCATCACTAACCTCATCTTATAGAATACATGAGAGTGTAGTCATGGATCTGGCACAAGTGTTTGATCAAGAATTGGAGCAGCTTGGCATCGAGACCGTACAGAAGGAGACTATTCATCCCAGAAAGTCTTACAAGATGAACAGCTCTTGTGCTGATATTCTGTTGTTCGCGAGCCACAAATGGAACGTCACTCGCCCATCCATTCTCTTTGACACAAAAGACGTAATTGAAGCTACCACAACGAACAAGTTCTGGGTAGATGTTCAACTTCGTTACGGAGATTATGATTCTCACGACATTGAACGATACGTCCGCGCGAAATACCTTGATTATACAACCGATAGTATGAGTATTTATCCTTCGGCCACTGGTCTAATGATTGGTATCGATCTTGCTTACAATCTCTACTCGGCATATGGACAATACTTCCCCGGTCTCAAGCAATTGGTACAGCAAGCTATGGCCAAAATCATGAAGGCAAACCCAGCTCTGTACGTCTTGCGCGAACGTATTAGGAAGGGTCTTCAATTGTATGCGTCCGAAAGTAACCAAGAGTTTTTGAATTCTCAAAATTACTCTGAACTTTTCAGCAACCAAATTCAGCTCTTCATTGACGACACAAATGTTTACCGTGTTACTATCCACAAGACTTTTGAAGGTAACTTGACAACCAAACCAATCAACGGAGCAATTTTCATCTTCAATCCTCGTACTGGACAACTCTTCTTGAAGATCATTCATACAAGTGTCTGGGCAGGTCAGAAACGTCTGGGACAATTAGCTAAGTGGAAGACTGCTGAAGAAGTTGCCGCTCTCATTCGATCATTGCCTATCGAAGAGCAACCGAAACAGCTCATCGTTACGAGAAAGGGTCTTCTTGATCCACTTGAAGTACATTTGCTTGACTTCCCTAATATATCAATCCGTGCCTCTGAGCTGCAATTACCCTTCCAGGCCGCCATGAAGGTCGAGAAGCTCGGTGATATGATTCTTCGTGCCACTGAACCTCAGATGGTTCTCTTCAATCTTTACGACGAATGGCTAAAGTCAATTTCATCGTACACTGCATTCTCTCGTTTGATCCTTATCTTGCGTGCTTTGCACGTAAATCAGGATAAGACAAAGTTACTCCTTCGACCCGACAAGACTGTGATCACTCAAGAGCATCATATTTGGCCCACGTTATCGGATGAAGATTGGATCAAGGTTGAAACCCAACTGCGTGATCTCATCTTGAATGATTACGGCAAGAAAAACAATGTCAACACTTCCAGTCTTACCAGTAGTGAAGTACGTGATATTATTTTGGGTATGGAAATCAGTGCTCCATCAATGCAACGCCAGCAAGCGGCCGAAATTGAAAAGCAACAACAAGAACAACAGCAGCTTACAGCTGTCACGACCAAGACTCAAAACGTTCACGGAGAGGATATTATTGTCACCACTACCTCGCAATTCGAACAACAAACCTTTGCATCGAAGACTGAATGGAGAACTAGAGCGATTGCAACTTCGAACTTGAGGACACGATCTAACAACATCTATATCTCTTCGGATGACGTCAAAGAGGATGATCACTACACTTATATCATGCCAAAGAACATCTTGAAGCGCTTCATCACAATTGCGGATTTGCGAGTTCAAGTGGCTGGATATCTGTATGGTTCATCTCCCCCAGATAATGACCAAGTAAAGGAAATCCGCTGTATCGTAATGGTACCTCAAATTGGTAGTACACGTGATGTACAATTGCCTCAGCAGTTACCACAACACGAGTATCTAGACCAAATGGAACCTCTCGGAATTATTCACACCGTTTCTGGTAACGAACCACCATATATGACAGCCATGGATGTCACCCAACATGCACGTCTCATGAATGCGCATAAATCATGGGACAAAAAGACGGTTACTATGACTGTTTCATTCACTCCCGGAAGTGTCTCACTAGCATCATGGGCGCTCACGCCTCATGGTTATAAATGGGGTGCGGAGAATAAAGATCTCGGTAGCGACCAGCCACAAGGGTTCAGCACGAACATGGGTGAGAAATGTCAACTTCTGCTTAGTGACAAGATCCGCGGATACTTCTTGGTACCCGAGACCAATTCATGGAACTACAGTTTTATGGGAAGTGCTTTTGGAAGCTTGGAGAAGAAGCCAATACACGTGAAGGTCGATACACCTACGCCTTTCTACAACGACCTACACAGACCATTGCATTTCCAGAACTTTGCTGAATTGGAGGATATTTGGGTTGACAATGAGGACAAGCTTGCTTAGATTAATGATATAGGGGAGGGGGTTGAAAAAAGGAGAAGCAGAACAATATGGGAAGGAAGATTGGAACTGGAAGGATGAATTAATCAGCGTGCATCTGTATCAAATTGGGCTGGGCAATGGGCGTTTGATGCGAACACGCATTGTAACAATGTATTTTTTTGTAGATGAATAATATGGTAGCAAAATGAAATGAATTTGATCATGCCACGATGATGTGTTAATTTTGAACTTTCAAACCCTCTATGAATGTTTCAGTTGTGGCATCCTATTGTTTCATTTTTCTTCGAGTGCTCAAATCATTTTGAATGTTCAAATTGCTTTCAATACTCGAAATGCTTTGATGAATGTGGGTATTATTATTTTGATTGTTCAAAATTCTTTGGATGTAGAGTCAATTCGCTTTGAGGATTTTAAATTGTTCTCGAGATTCGAATTACTTTGAATGCTTAAATTGCTTTTATTGCTCAAAATGCCTTGGATGTATAATATGCTTTGAGTATTCAAATTGTTCCCAATGTTCGACTTTTTTTGATTGCTTAGAGCCCTTCGGATTGTTTTTTTAATTTATTGTTAAAGGTTTACAGAGTGACAGTATGTTGACAAATGCTGGTCAAAGTTGTATTACAGATTTGACGAATTTACCATACAAATTTTAAATTTTGTTGACCTACATTTTGTAGCTTTTTGTAGCTCAACATCAGCATTCAACAAATCACTTTTTTTCAATTTTATTATCAATATAAATTGTTGAGCTACATTCGCGTTCGGTAAACAAGCGGCTTATTTAGGCTACATTTGTTATCAATATCGTTAAAAAAAATCGATCCGAACGGGCTTTTAGATTGTCTTTAGTATTCGAATTAATATCAATATTCAGATTGTTTTCAATGTTCGTTTGAATTATTTTGATTATTTAAATTGCTTTGGATGTTTAAATTGCTTGAATTGTTCAAATTGTATTCAACATTCAGATTGTCATGGAATTCCAAATAATCTCAAGATTCAACACTGGATGAATATCCTATCTTCATCTGAGTACCTAGTAGGCCATTGAACCCCCACGGCCTTTTAGCTTGCAACTCGGATGATACAGCTGGACTCCATATCTTTCTTGTTCCATGTATGCGTCACAAATACGAAACCCACCCTTCACTCTTTGTGTGTACCCTCTGCCAGCTCGCCCATCTAGTGTCTACAGCCTGTTCACTTCCATACCGCCATCTCTAGAAACCGGAGTCTAGTCGACTGTCTACGGTTACACAACGCTCTCGTTCGATGTTCGCCTCCTTGCTGCTGCGCCTTACATATCACATGTATGATCGACAGTGGGTACGAATCACCGCTACATCATCAATGCATTCGCTGCCAGTGAAGTGGGTATTTATAGAACGGAGCATCAAACGAGCCAGATGCAAAACTTGAAATGGATGCATGGCCAGATTCGAATGTGGAAAGATCATACCAATAGGTAGATGAGTAAGGGCTTACCTATCACAATGTGTCGATCCACCCAAATCTTGGTTCGGGGGTCTGTCGCTGGATTAGGAACGTAAGGCTTGAGCCGACCGACCATTGTGACATTGTCACTTTTTTCCTTGGGCGGGACCTGCAGGAAAATCTGTACAATTACGCCAGCCAGTGATGAGTGATGGTCGTATCTGACCTTGTAGACTGTAGGACACACATTTTACATCTGCCGTATGCACGCCAATTAATTACCATTCCAACGTTTTTATCGGTACCTACTGGTATGTTTTCTTTTTTCGGGCAGTGGCAAGCAAGGTTGCGATACTACAGTACTGACCTTGGATACTCGTCGGTTCACTGGACTGGATTCAATCAAGTACCGTGGGATATATGCCTACTGTACCAGCCTACCTACCAGTCAGTACCTGAGCCTAGCACGCCGAGACACCTGCCCAGCACATACATACTGTTCATGTCATGCTGGCCACTCTAGATGTGTACAATGGACACACAGGAAGATTGTGAAAGGAGAAGGAGATACAGAGATTAGGTTTGAAGGACATAGAGATGATTCAAATGATTCGATGCAATTTGAATCAATATATGTAGGCACCTAGGTACGTATACTCAGTATAGACATAAGAGTCAAGAGTGGCTCCTTCGCTTTTCTCCGAAAGTGTAAATCAATACCGGTACCTAGGCAATAATAAGTCGAGTATTTTATTGAAATCAGAATTAAACTTCTCTTCCTTCCTTCATTCATTCATTCATTCATTCATTCAATAATTCTTCATCTCTCTTCTCCTCCTCCTCCTCCTCCTCCTCTTCTTCTTCTTTCGCTTTCCATCGACGTGTAATTCCATTATCAATATATCCAGTCGGCATGCATTCCCCCTTTGGTTTCGCTCCCTTTGATCCAATTGATCCATACCTTCAATTGATCAATCGGTATAGCATGCCCACGTACTGCGACTATACTGGAAGCATACGGACAAAATGGTGTCAGGAGAAGCAACAATCGACACAGCAAACCTTGTCACCATGGAAATCCGTACAGCTCTTCAATTACATATTCCCTCTTCGAGAAAACCAATACTCAGCTTGGTCCATATTAGTCTTTTCCCCTTGCTCCGATCATTTATGCTTACCTAGGGTTTTGAGCAAAGAAGTCGAAATCATGTCATTTGAATTATATTGCTTTTGGGAATGGGTTACAGACCCTGGTTGTCAACATCAATGCCTTAAAGAAAGAAAGCAAAAAAAAAAAAAAAGTGTAGGTGCGACAATCAAAAAAGCATGAACGGGCAATGTCGCGAATAACTCCATCAATGTCACCAATTGGAAAGCTAAGCAGGGCTTTCACGTCTCCATTCATGGCTCGATTTGAATGCCCCCTTGGACAAATACACAATCGAGTCTTTTTTCCTTCGGCATCTAGGGGACGGGGACATGGCTATGATCTCTTTCTTCTATTACACATTGAATGTCACTACCGGCAGACAGACCAAACCAAAAGAAAACACCTACACTGCCTAGGTAGGTACGTTACATACAAAGCCTCAAATACGAAGAAGTTAAGTATAGAAATCTGCAAGGTGGATCTGGATCATCATTGGGATCTTTGAAGAACCTTCTGACATTGTTCTTCAGCCTTCTTCACTGGGGTTAAGGTTGAGGAACAGGGTCACTGTCGATAAGGCCAGCCAGCCCAAGCCGGCTCATCCGTCATTCCACTCCAAGAATCAATTTATTATCCTATTTGCTGAAATGGTGGTCTTTACGACTTCAAATCTCCGTTAGCTGCTACCCATATGCCCTCATCTCGCGCGTCATTTCAGTTTCTTATTGCTTTTCAATGGGAATCATCCGATGAATGGATCAATTAGAAAATCTCCCACGACTTAAGTAAGTGCGTACAAGGGGTGGGAAAAAAGGGGAATTCCCAGCAGTCACTCTCGGAGATTTTATATTTATAACCCTTGAATTTGATATGGATGGGAGAGGAATAGCGTGGAGGTTAAATGGCTAAATGGTTAAATGGGACCTTCAAGCATCGACGGGAATCTACAATTGGGAATTGAGACTTGGGAACCACTCTCGAGCCAGCGTGTGTTAGCTACCTAGATAGGTATCTTCGTTGCCTACCTACTCAAGGGTTATTGATCAGTCCCTATGCGCCCCTCCCACACCATTCGGCCAAAAGTCCTATTGCGCCTGACTATTCTTGCATGTCTCCTCGAGTAAGGTTAAGAAGCCAATTTGACAAATCAACGCATTATTTTGCCATTTAATTCATCTCCGTTCTTCAATCGTCATGATCCTATCACATCCTGCCTCGATACTATTTTTAATCCCATAATCCCTGAGCATTAAAACAAATTTTGTTATTATTCATGCTTCAAACCCAGAAAGAGGTCGCAGCGCCGGTGGAACATGGCCTTACTTCTCCACACTTCAATAGGGACGAGGGGTTTTTTTTAACTTGGCTCGGGAAGTAAAGTTCATCCAGGAGTTAAGATGGTTGGGTGAAGTGGGCCTAAATCCCTGTTGCCGGTTTCTTATTCTCGCCACAATCCATTTCTTGTTTCAAAAGCTTCTATACTTCTTCCAGAGCTCTAATGCCCTGAGCAGTGAGAACCCAACATTCTTCCCATGGCTGTCCACCTCCACTCTGCCTAACTTTCGATACCAAATCTTCTTGGCGGGTCTACTCATCACCCCCTTCCTTGTATCTCAACATTGTCAAGCCTTCTTTGGATAACCATGCTTTGAGCGTTACAAGCATTCGCTCGGGATCTTCTCACCTTGGAACCCTAATTGGGACGCCAGGCATAATCGAATTCCCATCTCCCCGGCAGAGAACGTTGCTAAAGTTCTGCCAACATGCATCATTTGCATTGCGCAACACGGAAGCTGTCTCGTTCGATGCGAATCGCTGGAACGCTTTGGTCATTTTAATTACTGCTACTGCCCTACGCCATTGATGTCTATGCAAGCTTTACTTAAAAGATCAGACGATAGATAAATGCAGATGCACCCCCTCTCTCTTTAACATTTCTCCTTCCTTTTACCATTTCATCAACGGCTCTAATCTGCAGTGGTTCATTCATACAACAAGTTGCCGAAAAAGTTTGGAAACATTTTGGTCGTTGGTAAATCGCATATTACCAAGGTATGCATTATTCGGCTCTCACCTATATAACGGCATTATATAGATAAGTTTTCGAAACGCGCACAGTCGCATCTGCTTTGTAAACAACGGTCAACAAAACCACAACAAGCGTTCTGGAAACCTAACGCGCTGCGGCAATACTTCAACACCTTTTAGAATTACCCCCAGCGACCTGCGAGAGCAGTTCGCTGTGGAGGAATCCATGTATGTCTGGCTATTCACGCCACAATCCAGGGCACGATCCTTATATCGATTATGCTGCTCAATCCGAAGAACATCCAGAGCGCGTTTACGGGTCGCATCACCCAGAGCTCCAGCAAGTTGGTGCGCAAAGTCTCGAATCCCTTCAACTGGGAGGGCATCATCAACAGCAACAGCAACAACATCACCACCACCACCAAGTATTGCTAGATTCACACGGCATGGCCCACCACCAGTCTCCTCAATATGGAGGTGGGCAACACATCGGGTATATGGGTGCGCAAATACAACAACCATCTAGTGTAGGAAAAAGGCCAAGAACTCATGACGACTTGGAAATTGGGATGGGAAGGGTGTCAGAAGGTCAAATGCATGGGCAGATGCAAGGCATGTCTTCACAAATGGCTCAACAAACGATGGGTGGTTATGGTGGTGGCCCTCAGGCTTTTCACAGTCATGCATTGCCTAATCAAGGACCTCGAGGTACGAAGATTCCTCGTCTTGGCGAAGGTCCGGATTCAAGTATGATGTCGCAAGGTGCACCTAGTGTAGTTGGCACTGCCGGAATGCCGATGCCTGCAGAAAGACCGCGAGGTCCAAAGTTAAAGTTCACTCCCGAGGATGATCAGTTACTAGTAGATTTGAAAGAGAATAAGGCTTTGACTTGGAAGCAGATTGCGGAGTTTTTCCCAGGGCGCTCTTCAGGGACATTACAGGTCCGCTACTGCACAAAATTGAAGGCTAAGACAACTCAATGGACTGACGAGACGGTAAGATATTTGAACCTTGTATTTTGAGAATCAATAATTGATTAAACTTTTAGGTTCAAAAACTTCGAACAGCGGTCCATGATTACGAACAAGAAAAATGGCGCATTGTGGCACAGAAAGTTGGGACCGGGTTTACATCTACGGCTTGCAAAGATAAATGGACTGAACTGGTGAGTTTCCTAGAATCAAGATGCCCAACAGTCCAGACTGCAGTCCAACAATCGGAGGTTTTGAATGTCTGAATCCAAATAAACTATTCCAATAGTTTGAGATGCCAGATCTATTTTGAAGATCGTATTGCTTTTAAACATTGGGAAAGTCTGATTGTTGGACTGCAATCCAGACTACTTGAAACCCTGCCCAAAAGCAATGTCAAAAGCAAAAGTCATTGGTCCATTGGTCACCTAAGTTGGGTGGCATCATCAATGCGCTTGTCACAACCTAATATTCCTTTTCTTTTCAGCTTCCGTAACACAAACACACAAAAGGCTAACCATTTCTTCTCACAACTTAGATGCACCCCGATGATTCCGAATTACAATCACCAGAACCTGAAAATCTACCCGAAGATTCAGAATATTAACTTCACGCGGACCAATTTTTGTCAAGTTTCTTTTGCATCTCACCTACCCATAAGCACAGACATTGCATACACAATACTCCCTCAGCCAGCACAGCCGACTAGACTACCGACGCGACTCAGATTTCGCATTATATTTTCATTTGTTGCACTACACACATTTACACATACCCAGCATACAACATTTCCTATTTGAAAATCCGAAAGCAAGAAGTTCACAAACTAATACCGGATAAAAGCGGCTGGATCGCTTTTTGTCTCATTCATCTATCTATTCATTGCTTATTTCTGGACTTTAATGGTCAACTACATTCCCATTTCCTTATATTTCGTTTCAGTCAGGAAGAATAAAAGAGAGAAAGGAGGAGCACATATATACATGGAAACTTTCGAGATTCGAATACACAAAAAAATACCATTCATGATGAGAAATGGAAGGGGCGAGAGGAAGTTGTAATTGTACAATTGGTGGGTTGGGGTTACATAGGGTAGATGGCTGATGGAGTGAGAGGGGTGAGAGGGGTGAGACGAGGGAGACGAGGGGGGTATATCTTCTGGATGACTGCTTATCATGTTGGACATGGTCTTTTTTTTTTATAAAAATTTCATATACCCCTTATTTTGATGTGATGATGGATGATGGGCCAAGGCAGGGTTTTGGATGGAATAATGGATTTTTTTTGGAATATACATTTTAGTAGCGAGTTTTATTTTTCGTGTTATTTTTTTCTTGTTTTTGTTTTTGATTTCTGTGATGGTGAGGATTATGATGATGATAATGATGATGATAATGATGATGGTGATGATGATGGTAAAGAGGGGTGAAGATTCAAGAGTATGTTTGAGAATGAATGGATAAGCGGGGTTGTGTGAGGAAATGACACATGATGTAAGGGGGGCGTATACGAGTAGATGAGAGGGGTGTGATAGATGTACTAGGTAGGTATGTATGTGTGTTTGCGATATAGTGAATTGAAGATTTGAACTTGTTTTGAATACCTAGAGAGAGATAGAAGGAAGGGCTGGCTTATGTTATGGATCCATGGTGGTGATTCAGGGTTTCTGGGTCTGGGTCTTTTGTTGTATTCGATTTTATTCTATTGTATTGTATTCTAGGTATTCGATTCTCATCTGATCTGATCTCTTTTATCTTTTTCTGGGGGGGTTATATTGTATTGTATTGTATTGTATTATATTAAATTAAATTATCGAAGGTTATTTGGATGACTTGACTTGACTTGACTTTTTGGCGGGTGTTACTAGTGTTGCTAGTGTTGCCTGAGGAGGGAGTTTGAGGGGGGAGAGGAGCTGGTGAGCGAGCGAAGGTATTAGATAGTATAATATATATCGTATTGTATCGTATCGTATCGTATCGTATCGTAGCATATCGTAAATAACCTATTCGCGATTTTGAAGAGAGAGAGAGAGAGAGAGGGGGGGGAAATGGAAAATGGAAAACTATCTAGGTAGAGTAGTAATCATAATCATAATCATAATCATAATTAATCGTCTTTGATGAATTGAGTTGAGTTGAATTGAGTTGAATTGATTTGATTTGATTTGATTTGATTTGATTCGATTTAAGTACCTAGGAGCCTAGGTACTATATATATAATCTTATCTAGTATTTATCGCGGGATGTAAGTTGTTTGTTTATATGATTGATTGATTGATTGATTAATTGATTGATTGATTATTTCTACATATTTATTTATTTATTTAGATAACTCTTTAGAATTTAAAAAATCAAAGGAGGAGGATGAGAAATTCGTACTTATTTCGTTGTAATTGGAGGAGGGTGAGGATGAGAATGAGAATGAGGATGAGAATGAGGATTAAAAAATCTAGAAGCGGGGAGTGAGCGGAATTGAATATCTAGGTCACCAGGTAGGTAGGTAGATATGTTTCTTGTATATTTATGATGTTTGTGATATATTGGGTTTGTGTATTGTGTACCTAGTGTATTAGGTAGATGATGTATTAGGTAGATGGAAGGGGATGGATATGGATATATATGTACCTAGGAAGGTTTGTGATGTATGTATGTGTGTGATGTATGTGTGATGTATGTGTGATGTGTGATATATATGATATGTGTAACGGTAAGAAGTGGGTGGGGCGTATGGAAGTTACTATGGATGGGTGGGGGTGGTCGTCGGGGGAAAGTCGGGAGACGAGACGAGGCGAGAGAGGGGAGGGGAGGGGAGGGGGAGGGGGGTGTTGTGTTTTGGAATTGGGGAGTTTGGGAGTTTTGGTCGGAGGGAGGGGGAGAGAGGGAGAGAGGGAGAGAGGGAGAGGTAGGAGGAGGGGTGAGGGTTAGGGGATGGGATGGGATTGCAGATATCCGTTGTATATACGATAGATATATAGAAACTCTTTTATAGGTACCTAAGTAATCGTGAAATTCATTTATATCTTCCTGATTGGACTCTAGTTATAGAATGGATTGTGAGAATGTATGCTTGAGTTTGAGAGAACCTGGTGAGAGAGTGTGAGGGGGGTTTCCATGTCAACAGACCTAGGTAGTGATAGGCCTCGCTGTAATTCTTGTTTTTTGTGTCAATTTTCTTTGATTTTTATTTCAGGATGCTACTTGAGAGAGGAAAAGGATAACATATATCTGAGCGACAACGAGCGAGTGATTTACTAATGAGAGCAACATAGTACACAACTAACCGGAGAAAATATTACAGAAATAAATCAGCCATCCAAAGTTTAGAAAAGACAAATGTCTACGACATCCTACTAGCAATATCTCTCGCAACATAGATCTGCCCATACAAATCCGTCACATTGACAAAGACATCCAGCACGCCTCTTACCTTCTCATCAACCAAAGGTCTCAATCTCGCTTTGACGATAAGCAGACATTCACGCTCATATTCTGCCATTTCCATCAATGCGCTTTTCCTCTCTTGCAGTTCCGCCGTAGTCTGCTTTTCCGTTGCATCAGAAGACGTTGAACTTCCGGCGCACTTTTCAAACTCGGGGAAATTCACGCTATTAAGGTTCTTTTCCGCCTTGTCGCGTGCCAACGAGCCATAATCGTTGTACATGCGACACATGACTGCGAGATGCTGGCCCAGCTCCGCGGAAAGATACTTTGTGAGCGCGGTGGGGAACGGTTCGTCTCCTCGTTCTGATGTCATTCGACACGATATCCAGTCCCATGAATAGGGACATGATGTGTGGACGGCCGAGATATTGCGTACCCAATCCCAATAGGTTCTTGATGCTGGGAATGTGACGGGAGCATCGGAGTCGTGTCCTGAAAGTTGCGCGAACCAAGAATTGTCGGTTGAATGAGTGAGATGGGCGAGTAGGAAAGCTTCCAGTTGTTTGCTCAGATGAGCTAAAGATGATTCTGAAGCTTTTTGGATGGAAGGATGGTTTAGAACGTGGTCTTTGAAGCGGATGAGAGTGTCTCTGTCATCATTTGTGGAGTCATCTGGCAAACCATCATCGGAGTTCACTGGTGTGATGACGCCATGATTCAACGAAGAACTCTCCTGATCCGATAGAGGATCACTTCGAAGATTTGTCTTGGAAAACAGGCCTCGGATTAAGTGCTTCGCAGAGCCGTTGTGTCCAAGCACAGCTTCCATGAATTCGTCTGCCTGATAATTCAACATTGAGATGACCATCATATCCCAAATTAGGTCGGTCTCAAGGAATATCCCTTTATTATTACAACCAGTCCACGTGAAGGGAATGTACTCTAGATATTTATCCTCTGCCATGTTCTGGCGGGGGAAGATATTCAAGCGAATTCGACGTAGTCGTGGAAGAAAGAGATATCCTTCCATAATAGAGGCAGTAAGCTTCCATGAGCTCTCACTCGCGAAGAGAGGAATTGCAGAGAAAAACTTGGCGAACCTCGCAACTCTATCAAAGGGAATACCGAGGATGTTTGGAAGTGGTTTCCATTGTGCTGAGTTCGTAGGGTAATTCTTCGCTGCATGGGTCGCTGCTATACAATATGTTTTGGACAAAATGCTTGATCCGTAACTGACTTTTTCAACCCAGGTATAAGTAACTTTATCCCAACTATCTCGGTTCCGATTCAAATAAGTTCGACCTGTACGAATGGCTCTAAGCACTTGCTTGTCAAGCTCTCCGGCCCAGGGAAAGAAAGTCGCATCAATCAAAGTTAGGATGCCATAAGCAGTTATCTCGCACGAGCCTGAAGTACCCCAAGAACCATTGCTATTTTGAGTATGCAATGTGCGATGTAGAATCTGTAATAAAATTACAGGAATCTTATCTTTCAATTGTTCTTCTGGAAGGTCGGGTAATGCTCCACTGTCCCAAACCATCACAAGCTTTCTGAATGTTTGAGCTAAGAGCATCATCGAATACTGCCGGGAGAGATTCTTATCCATTCTGTTAGCATACTGACAAAGTTTATCGATCACAGCAAGCTAATAAATATGCTTACCCATTTGTCATCGATCTTTCCAGCCGACCATGAATTGCACAAAAACTCAGTTGTGCTGAGGATCTGCCCGACATACTTGTTGGGCTCGTTGATATGCAACAAAGCATTGAGTACATTACAATTTGCACTGATGCTTCCATTCCTCTCAAGCGCGTATGTCTGAAAATGATTTTTGACTTCAAAGTTTGCTATCATTTGCTCTGCCGAAACGGATCTTCCGACCAGGCACAGCGTAAGAATACATTTCGCAGTGTCATCAGCATCGGGAATTAATGAAGGAGCTATCAGAGTTATTATAAAGGACTGTTTCCGGGCGATTCCGACCTACCAAAACCAATGACCCCTTGTCTGTGGCTTAATTCTTGCTGGAGATGGTCCACCAATATGCTAAGATTATACTCTCCTAATTCTTCTGGGGTATAACCTGCTTTCAGAAGCGTAGAGACAACCTAGATAAATCATCAGCTTGATCAGTACAAGTTTAGATTGAATAACGGATGTATCGTACCCATGTGAACTCGAAAAACGTCGTCGGGAACGCACAAGGGACGCTTCCGTTGCCTTTTCCAGCACCTTCAATGATGGTGTTTCTGAGATATATTTCTGATTCGTTATCCCAGATTGAAGTATTCATTAGATATGCCGCTGTTGAAGACGGAGAGGCCATAATACTCCCATTCTTTAAGTGGTGCTTGATTCGATTGAAATCTATTGTGCCAATGAATGCTTCCAAGGAATGTAGGGCAGTCACTTGTATATTCTGATAGAATATTTCTGGCTGGAATATCGAGAGCTTCTCCTGGTTCAGTTGGAGTAGATGCGTTTTACCAGGAAATTCACAGACGACATTGTGTTGCTCTAGCATTCCTAAAAGCGCAGGGACAAGAATCTCAAATCCAACATGAACACAAGATCTGACATCCCACGCCTGCAATTGATGTCTAAGACTACCTTGTGCTTTGAGTATTCGTGCATCAATGTCAGGGGGCAAAATGGAGTAGGAGGAATTGTTAGCACTTTGATGAGATACAAAGGCCAACAGAGCCGCCATTGTATTCAAGATTCCATCCACCTGCGACGAATAAGATTCCCAGGAGCCATCTTTGGCCTGGGCATCGACTATGTGCTGGAAGGCTTCTGGAAAGAGCCAATGTCTAACCCCGTCAACATCCTTCGATACCATAGATACCCATGCCGTGTCATAGATAGATGTAGACATCGATCCAGAGCCACCTGCTCGGAAAGACTCATTGGCTAGACTGCCGACTAGAAACTTGGCTTCTAATACATCGAAGTGATCCATTTGTACTGTTTGGAACGGGAGAAATAATGTACACAAAGTATGCAGGAATCTAATTGAAGCAAGGTAAAGTAATGCATACCGGAAAGGGCACACCCAGATGTCCTCTATATCAAGTCCAATTGCATGTACACTGGTGACCTGCTGACAATCATCTTTGGCTTGAGACTACGGTCGGCTTATCCGTTACAAATGCAAGCTGATAAGTTTAGACCAGCGATGATTTCCGATCTCATGGGAAATAGACACCATAAATGGCAAAAGCTCCTTGAAAATAGCCAAGAGCGTTTTTGCACAATCGAGGCATGTTGATTGCAAACCCCAGAAGGTCGGAGCGGGGCAATTAATCCTCGACTGTGGCAACTTGCGGGGTAAGGTTTGCAAGGCTATGGGTATGATACTGCTTGTTGCTTTCTTTCATGCCCATTCCTTTCGTGGCAAGCTCTCCTATCACTCTCGCATGATTGCAATGGAGAACGACGGGCGACAGGTGGAGTGGATGAAGATTCGGATGAAATGCGAAACAATGTAAGTAAGACGAGAGCTTTGCAGCATAGAACATAATGTGACGTGACTCTCACTGCATAGGTAGGTACCTATCTCTACGTAAGCGAAAAAACAGGCGGAAATTGAGTATTCTTTCAAAGGTCTTTTTTAATAAATTATAAATTCATTTCAAATTAAATATTGAAGTTTGAAAAAAGCAAACGAAAATTTGAGTCTTCTTTGTATTGAGATTAAGTGTTTTTATTATTTAATATTATATCGAAAAGAGATATTAATTGTTGAAGGTCTTTCGAATAGTGATCAATTCCCGCCTGTTTTTTTGCTTACATAGAGCCTATATGTCCTCCATTTATGCCGGAGGCACAGATTTACTAAGCAAACTGATGAGTGAGAATGAGGAAAGTCCAATTGTTAATTTCAGGGGGAGAGGGGGTAGTGCGGGCTTTCGGCACGGATCCCATGGTGTGCATATAGTATCGATCGATATGGACACCCCTGAATCTCAATGTAACCTTTCGGTACACCAACACTCCGGCACCTAACACCTCAAGCTTTTTACTTCTAATTCTGTTGTTTTGTGAGATGGCTTGAATCCTTCATTGATAAGGAAGACAAAAGATGCTGTCGATGATTTTAGTGGCCACCTTGGTCACGACCTTTACTTCATTGTATTTACTCGTCATTCGACCCACAAAGCAACAGGGTCAGATACCTCGCATTGGCAAGAAACCAGGACTTTTGGGCAACACATCCGATAGCCATTTCTTCAAACATAGCTTGGAGCTCATTGAAGAGGGTTATTCAAAGGTATCGGCTGATCCTTTGAGTATTATTTCCATCCATGTTTCTGACACGTGAATAGTACAAAGACTCTGTGTATTCATTATGGACGACAGATATGGATCGAGTCATTGTTTCTCGAAAGTTCATGAAAGATTTCAGTGTTCTTCCAAGAAAACAAGTGCGTCTTACTGCATCGGTTCGACACGCTGGTCCATATACTGGCTTCGACATTGCGGAGGAAAGTGACCTGCAATTCCTTGTTTGTGCAGGGCAACTATCTCAAAATATAGGTATTGGATGATAGATCTCATTGAGCTAGGTATGTATAGCTCGCTTACAATTGAAAGGTCGTCTTGCTCAGCCTACATACGATGAGATACTATTTACAATAAACTCAAAACTCGAGAAGACTGAGAGCAAAGATGGTGAGTAGAGTTTATTTTTCATGTATAACATATCTAGTGGTCAGCTTGATTGACAGACTGCCAGGCATTTATAGCTTTCCGCTGTTTCGTCTCGCCATTGAACTTATTACCAGCGCCAATGCTCGTGCTTTTGTTGGACCGGAGCTATGTAGAGATCCAGAATGGTTGGCTACCGCAACCGGCTATACTGTAGAGTGAGTTGAACATCGTCTGTCTCGCTTGCCTACTAATTCATGCCATTTATAGCTCCGGAAATGTAGCTACCGATCTCAAGAAGCACTATAGACTTCTCCACCCTATCATTGCTCCTTTCCTTAAATCCTATAAACAGATCCGCAATCGGTTTTCTGTGGCCCGCAAGCTTCTACTTCCACTCATACAGGAGCGCAGGTCAACCACCTCAAAAGAGCATCCGGATATGGTACAATGGCTAATCGACTCTGCTCGTGGACCTGATGCAGAGATAGACAAACTAGTAACACGGATGCTTTTTCTCAACGCAGCTGCCATACATACAACGGCAGAGGTCGCGACAAACGCCATACTAGATCTATGTGCTAGACCGGAGGACCTCAAAACTTTGAAGGAGGAATTGACAATCGTAACCGAAGAATCTGAAGAAGCCGATGTCACTATTCGGACGCTATCATCTCTTAAGAAGATGGATAGCTTCATAAAGGAATCACATCGCGTAAATACTCTTGGCTTAAGTATGACCACCAACACAACTATACAAGTCGCAATGTCTAACATATGTTTCTTGTCCAGTGACTTTCAATCGTCAACTTGCAGTACCTGTAACGCTCTCAAATGGAGTGACTCTGCCCAAAAACACATATATCTCGATGACCCATTACCTCATCAACAAGGACCCCGAGATATACCCCTCTCCAAACACGTTTGACCCTTTGAGATTTTACATACAACGGCAAGAACCAGGCCAAGAGGAGCGATACCAATTCTCTTCTTTGAGCTCAGAGAATCCGTCTTGGGGCGTAGGAAAGTTTGCTTGCCCAGGTCGTTTCTGGGCTAGTGCTCAAATTAAGTTATTGCTGATGGTTCTCTTAAACGAGTTTGAGATTGGCTATCCGGAGGGGCAAACGGAACGCCCACATAATGTAGTCAAAGGCGAAAAGAACCAAGTCAGTTTGAGTCAGCAAATTCTTTTGAGAAGGAAAAATTGAAAGGCATGTAATTATATTGCTCTATGGCTATCACAAATGAATGGTGGATGAAAGCAAAAAGTGAATATCGAGGGAATCAATTGGAGGAAATGGGCCTTTATAATTTTGAACGCCGCACAATATCAAAAAAGAAAATGTTACTTTTAAAGGGGGTCGCTGGGCATATGATGGTTTTCTCTCAACATCCTTTTACCTGAACTGTATCCTGGTAAGCTAGCACGCCTCGACATTCATCAAGAAGACGTGAATAATGGCCTGACAATTACCATGTATACTTCTTCAATCTACCAAAGCTTCTTAGGCTACATTGTAGTCATCAGCAAAAGGACAGCCTATAGATATGTGGGAAACATCCGATGGAGATAAAGCAAACATACGGTGAAGAATATTGAGAGTACTAGGGACAGAGCTGCTGCTGCGTAAATGAGGATATATCTAAATGGTTTTAGCTTCGAAAATGATCAAACACAAAGAAGTTTATACTCACGTATCTGTCAGAGCATCAACAATGATGGCGAGAACCTCCTTAGTCTGCACTTCATTCAGCTGATCATCAAGACCACCACCAATTTGTGTGATTAGATTACTCAATTGCGAAGCTGAGAAGGATGGCACTACTTGCCGCACTCGAGGTAGTGAAACATTCTGAAATATGGCTCCAGCAATTGCAAGACCGAGTGTGGTTCCAGTGAGTTGTGCTATATTGGAAGGGTGATCAGCACAATTGGTCAGCAATGAGGGAATTTTCGTACCGATTAGCATGAGGGATATTGCGCGATGAATATCGGCTGGGGGCACTAATCGTTGTGCTACTGCAAAACCTGCTTGGCCATAGCAGCCCGTCCCTACTCCAGATAGGACCTGAAGTCCGTATATGACAGCATCTGATGTGGTGATGTTGATACGACCTAACATACAAGTCAACATTGCTTCCATTTGTATATCAAGAGAAGAAATTAGAACAAATCATACTCAGAAATACACCAGCGAGAATGTTCAAAATACTTCCGGCGATATACCAGGGCTGATACCATCCTAGCTTCCCCATAAGACGTCCACGAATGGCACTCGAGGTCACCCAGAAGCATATCAAAGGAAGTGTTTTGACTCCGGCTCGGAGAGCAGAATCTCCCTTTGCGAGTACTAACATTAGTGGAAAGATACAAGATTAGAGGTGAGGGTTTGCAATATACCTTAGCTAATTGGAAGAAAACCGGGATATAGTATAACGGAACAGGCACTATAAGTGCAACGGCAACTGCGAGGTGTAAGTGATTGTCTCGAATGTATCTAAAATATCTTTACCTTGACACACGCAGCATATGATCATATCCTTTGTCTTGAGAAGATGAATCGGTAGCACACGAAGCGCCTGAGTAGTCAAGAAATTGAAGTGCTGCTGCAGGAAGAGGGCGATGAAAAATGCTCCAGAAACTACAAACAAAACGATGATTTGCCAGCTGTGCCAAGGATATAGTGTGCCTCCAAAATTGATAGCTATGATACCAGCAACGAAAGCACCGCAGCTCAGTACGCTGCCCACCCAATCTATGGTTTGAATTTTGGAAAGAAAGGATTCTGTTGGACGAGGAGTGTACGATGGTATTATGAAGAGATACACTGGAATAAAAATGCAAATCACGGGTGCATTGATATAGAATCCCTAGAAAATGTGAGCCTAGCAAAAAGTCTAATCAACGAAACCTACCCATCTCCAAGTTGCAGAACTATCCGTAAAGGCACCTCCAATGAGGGGTCCAATAACAGATCCGAATCCCCAGACCAAAGCACTTTGCGAATCGTTAGTTGAAACCTAAAGCATCTCTAGAAACACCTACAGATATCCCATATATTCTGTTGTTTCCTTGGGACTAGTGTTGACCGATATCAACGTGAGAGCCCCAAGATACATTCCAGTGCCCTTTTGACATGGTCAGTGATGGCTAGTAGGAGAATGATGTGTTACATACACCAACTCCTCCTATCACACGACCAAAAATCAGTGCTGTCATATTTGGAGCTGCACCACATATGATGGAGCCGACGACGAAAAGTAACGAGAACTTTCAGTGTCAGAAATTTATAGTGGAAGAGCGTCATCGTCAAGGTACAAACCGCTATGTACAAGATCTTGGCGTTGAAGGACGCAAAGAGCTTCCCATTAACTAATGCCGTGGCTGTTCCAGCCATCAAGAAACTCAAAAAAATGTCAGATAGCCCATTTTTGGAGGTTGCAAAGGACTCATATTACCCGACGGAAATCCATGGTAAATTTTGGACTTCACCGAAATCTTTGACGATGACCTACACAATATGGTGTAAGTTTGACACACGGTACCTGTTCGCTTTGGCAGGACATACAGGTTGAATCACAGCTACTATTGTATTATCGATGGCATAGAAGCAAAGATTCGAGAGAATGGCGACAACTAAAAGGACCCACTAAAAGGTATACTCTCGTCAGTCCCTGCACTATTGTTTAGGTATGACCATAGAGCCAGTTTGAAGGAAATGACTTGACAATACTTTGATGCCATGTATAGTTCTTTGTCTTTCCGGCAATTTCACAGGCTGACTTGACCCGGTCTCGAGTTTTGCATCGTGGTCCTGGTTTTCATCTCCCGTAGGCACTGTTGCTGCTGCTTTTTCTTCGTCGGCTGTCATCATAACCGATTGACCGTTATCTTTGACGGCACTAGAATCTCTCGGCGCGCCCGTTGGATTGGATTCCATAATCTCTAGACTGGTGATTGTACAGGGTAAGAGAAGTCAGTGAAAGTACTGGCAACTCACTTGAGGTGTGGCCGCAGTCATTTTGGGCTTTTTGTTTCTATAGACACCGCCTCTTTCTATCTATTCCATTTCTAGTAGGTAGCACCAACTTGGAAGCATGTTGGAAAGTGTTGGGGTCGCGGTCCAACAGAATTTGTAGAACACGACATGGGGTAATTTTGGGTCGATGTATCCCTTGATCGCTCGCAAGTTCGTTTATATCCACTGCACTTAAAATGATCATGTCTTATTACTGTACAAGGTGAGCACTAGCAAGGAGACTTTCGGTTGTAAGATTCATGTATTTCTTTTTAGCCAATCGGATCTTGCGAAATACTCCGTGATGACACTATGATGACGTTATACCGTATGTATCTCGGTACATGTATGTATTACATTTACCGAATTCCGCACTGTCTCTACTGTGCCCATTCATTGTATTTTCAATATTTTGTACCAAATTAAACAATTACGACACAAAGTGATATGATCATATAAGTATTGAAATATGAGTATTTTCGGCATTTGGTTCTATTGAGTAACTTGATGTATCTCTTTGTTGACCCCAGGAAGCCATCAAACTTCTATAACCAGGTATACACGCTAAGCTAGGTGAGTAGTCACTTTCGCAAACGGAGTACATATCCAAATAACACCGACACATGACAAATTCTGATTCATGAGAACCTGGAAGTATCCTTGTTAGTCGCGCATGAAGATACTACTGTCACTGCAGGAGATGAGTGCATATGTACATGTCTTATTTGCGCCTCATTATATCACATTGCGAAGGATTCGTGCATTGGCAGCAAAGCTATGGAGCAAGTGCTAGATTGAGATAGTAAGGATAGAGACCTTAGGATCGAAGATATTGCTAGCTAAGAGATGTAGAAAGTGCGGGGGAGGGCATTAGAGGTGAAGATCCGTTTATATGCTACTGAGTGGAATTATTGGAATTCCTGAGATACAAACCGATCAGAGAGTTGACGAATTTCGATTAAAATGTCCCTCATAGAGATCACGGGTTATGGAGAGGCTTCAATAACAAAACCGTTATTTGCTCTGGTCGCAATCTGTTCCATTCTATTCGGTTCGTGGCTCAGGGCTGTGCTCTTTCCCCATGGCAATGCTGCAGTGAAAGCTCCTATTGTTGGCCTGAGATGGGCCTACCCCGCGAGGGTTCAGTATCTCAACAATGCAATGAACCTCCTTCAAGAAGGATATCATCAGGTAAAGCCTTCATCTGCTCCATCGATGACTCCATAAACAATTGTTCTGATAAGTACTTAGTACAAAGATCAATTCTTCAAAATAAATGGAAATGATATGTTAGTTGTACCTAACAAGTACATCAATGAGCTTCGAGCGATCCCGGAAGAAAAACTCAGCTCTATGGTTGCAAATATTGAGGCAAGTCACCCATGGAATTTTTAGTAGTCCGGACTGCAGTCCTACAATCACAAGTTTTCACTGTCGGGAACCAATAAGATGATTCAAATTGTTTGAAATATCAAATTGGCTTCGAATAGTACACCGCTTTTAACTATTGGAAGCTTCATACTGACCTGCATGTAGAATTTCCAAGGCAATTATAACACTATCGATATCTTGCTGCGTGGTAACCTACACACTCATGCCATTCACACGCGACTTACCCCCAAGCTTGGTCTCTTTGTGCCTTTGATATGTGAAGAAATGAAATGGGCATTGACGCAAGAGATACCTCCGTGCAAAGGTCCGGCTTCTATAAACCACTTTCACCTCGGCAGCTATCAGAAACTAACGTTTGCCAGATAATTGGGTTTCCATACTTGGGTTTGATACCGTAGTAAGGTTGGTTGTGCATGATTTCGCACGAATATCAGTTGCCTCATTGGAGCGCAACAAAGAATGGATGGAAATCCAAAGGATGTTCCCGGAGAATGTCTTCCGAGTTGCAATTCAAATGAGAGTCATTCCGCCCTACCTCAAACGAATCTCATCATATTTCATGCCAGCTACTTGGGCCGTCTCTCGGAATCTTCACAACGCACAAAGACTCATCACACCCATTGTGGAAGAGCGCAGGCGAATGGAAACAGTCAATGATCCAGATTACAAACCACCAAATGATTTCCTGCAATGGTTGATGGATGAGGCGTGGAACGAGCGGGATGGTCAGGCGGCAGAGCTGGTTCATAGACTACTTGTCTTGGCGTTGGCGTCTGTTCATACAACTTCTATGACAGCAACTCAGGTTCTGTATGATATTATTGCTCATCCAGAATACCTCGAGCCGCTTCGAGAAGAGATCTTGCAGGCTCTAAAGGAGGATGGAGGTTGGCAGAAGACGACGCTCACAAAAATGAGAAAGCTTGATAGTTTCATGAAAGAGTCACAACGACTAAACGGTCCAAGTCTTAGTAAGTTTTATTGTAGTTGCTTTATACAGACACGTTCCTAACGCGCTTAGTTGGTTTCAAACGTGCTGCAATGGAAGACATACAGCTTTCCGACGGCACAATACTTCCAAAGGGTGTACATATGGTAGTACCTGTCGTGCCGATTGCTCTCGAGTCTGTAACTCCCGATCCTGGTGTTTTCCAAGGCTTTCGCTTCTATCACGAGAGGCAAAAGCCTGGACAAAGCAACCTTCATCAATTCGCCATGACTGATAAGAATAACATGCATTTTGGTCATGGAAAATACTCCTGTCCAGGCAGATTCTTTGCAGCACATGCTATTAAAATCCTGATTGCTCATCTTATTCTCAACTACGATTTCAAATTTCCAGAAGGCAAATCGCGACCAGGAAATTTGTTAGCTCATGAGTATTGTTTCCCAGACCCTACAGCACATATTTTGATGAAGGAACGAGACAGCCCCTGGAGTATATAATGGTGTCTCATTTTTAATTGCCATACCGAAATTCTCTTGCCGTTTGCATACGTTTGGGGGGTGAACTGATTCTTACAATCGAATGCTCCTAATTCTTCTATTCAGAATTGAAATTTATATACTTAGAAACCCATTTTAATGTTTTCTGGAACTCGGTCCAACTCAACTTTGAGAAGAATGAAGCATTTTTATTTGTGCCTTCTCGCTCACACATCTACATTAAAGGCATATTTGATGGCGAATAACAACCCTTGATTGTCAATATTAACCACTTCAAATCTGTCGGGGTCTGCTTGGAGAGGCAGTTCTAACGGCTTTACCTTCCTATTTCATCGACTACATCATGAAGGTGGACATGAATAGGAAGGCATTTAAAATCGGAAAATGATAACCACTAAGAACTCTTTCCTGAAAGACTGAAACAACTTTCGAGGAATTACCCCAGAAGACTAAACGAGGCTTTCTCAAGCCGACATCGAACAATAGGATGTCTAAGCAGTCAAATTTTTTCGAGACCCCAGCGTAAGGATAAATTGAGAAATCTTATGTGAGATTTTAATCTGTTATCCGACGATCCATGTAGATCCTTTCTGAAAGTTTTGCTGGCTAGGATAATGCACGGGAGGCAGGACAAAAAACCCAGACGATCCAAAACGTTTCGCTCTTTTCAATATTCGACATCAAATTGAGCAATCATTTATTTGAAATGAAATTTGAGAAGTTTCGTATGTTTAAGAGGTTTCAAAGTATAGTATAACATAAAGATTGACATTTTGGGAAGATATCGAAATACACGTGTTCTAATATATGGTTCTATTTAAGTGATTTAGTATACCGGGATTTCGCCTATGAAGGGGGGTGGGGGTGGGGTTGGGTATGGGGTTGAGCATTGAGCCTTGAACAAGGGCAGACCTCTGTCTCTTGATGCTTTCAAATACATCCGGAACGTCTTAGACCACAATTCCAAGTATTTTCCAAGCGGAATAAGAGATTTAAGAAATGTGCCTATGCAAGTTCTCAAAAGTGCATAATCAGGAAATCGGAGATTCAAACAAAGTCGATATGAACAATCACATCGTGCTTCCTTACAAAATTGCAGGAAGTGGGAGTAGGGATTGGACAAATGAAACACTCAATCACAACCCTCAGCATTTGACCTCGTCTATATCCAAATCATTCGAATCCTATCACAATTACTACCTTGTCGGTCCGGCCTCGCATAGTTGAACCTGGAAACAGCCCGCCCCGGACAAAATTGGCGCTTAAAATGTGCCCTTCCTTACCTCGGGGGTTCATCTATACTATAGTAGTAGTTCTTCAGCAATAAACTATATACCAGGATGGGTGACATACTAATAACGATGCTATAGTACATAAGCACTAATGCATAGACTATCGAAGTACGTATTTCGACCTCCTAGTATGTATGTTTATGAGTTAATTTTTCTACTAGATACATGCACTGCGCCGTCGGATGTATTCAACTTAAAACAGCAAATAGATGCATGTACTGCGCTGTTGAAGTTTAACCGCCTGAACGGTAGATCCCTTAACATATACATGACTATATTACAAGGTGGCTAATAATATGGTCAGATATGATCTATTGTCAGCTCAAGTAATTACTGCCATCCAGACATCCCATTTACTGTAAGCGGAAACAGGAGGCATATGATTACACAGGCTGATTTCCAGGGTCATTATCTCATCATTGGATAGACACGATACCACCCACTGTTGCTACCATTACTAAAACTTATGGCTTAGCCACTAGCTATTTTCTCACGCGTGTTACTATTGGAGGACTTCATGGATCAATATCGTATCTTTCTGCTTAGATACATTCAAGATGACTGGATCTTACGGTTTCACGAATTTCCGAAGTTGTATGTCCAACTACCACCCTCCATCAGCATTTGAAGGGGGCCTTTTTGAAACCATGGCGAAAGATTTGAGAGGAAGGATCTCTACATTTGAATTTTGAAGTCTTTATTTATGCAATCAAGAATGAGAAATTGGATCTAATGAACTCTGTATAATATACGCACTGGAGCCATCAAGACATCTACAACAAGCTGATTGAGTCCACTTCTCCACAACTTTCTTTGGACTAGCAGAGCCCGTGCGTTCCTTACAATGGCAATTTTTGACCTCATCGGTAGAGAAGGCTTCGTTGCAGCACCGGCTCCACCAGGAGTGACACCAAATTTCGACCACCCCGAAAGCAATGGCGGAATGTACATGGCAGGAACTCTCACAACACTATGCGTTGCATTCATCTTTGTGGTACTTCGTCTGACGACCAAAGTGTCTATGGCAGGAAGAAAGCTAGGATGGGATGATGGTAAGTGTCATTGTAATACTAGGCATTCTTCAGACAATACTAATGTGTCTCCAGTTCTGATCGTTTTTGCGCTGGTATGACTACCAACAAGAGCAAATGCGAATTTCTTGCTTACATCATGTAGGCCTTTTCGATTGCCAGAGCCACCTGCTTCATTGTTGGTCAGTACCACTCGATCCTTCGTTGATTCGCATAATAGCTCAGAATATTTAGACATCGAACATTATGGGATTGCGCATCATGTTTGGGACCTTCGTCTCCCACTTAATCGAAATACTTGGCTGGTAAGTTTCAGAGATGATTAAGAAGGGCGCTCCAAATTAACGGAACGATAGCTTCATAGAATTGGGGATATAATGTGGCCCCCCGGAATCCTTTGCGCCAAAGTATCCATCTTGATGTATTATTTGTCGATTTTCAGACCAAGCAAAGCCTTTCGCTGGACTGTTTATGGAACTCTGGTATTCACGATTTGTTACCTCGTCGCATCAACATTGGTGCAGATCTTTTGGTGCAATCCCGTCGCTGCGGCGTTCGGAATCAAAACCCCCGGCAAAAAAGCTGTCTGCCTAGACGGCTATGTGACTGACCTTGCAATTGGTGCCCTAAATCTACTCACGGATATCATTATTCTTGTTCTGCCCATGCCCATGCTGTACAGATTACAGCTAAGTCGGGGACGAAAGTTGGGACTGGCAGCAATATTTGCTATTGGTGGATTGTGAGTGGATACATTCTATGAGAAAAACATTATTCTGACCAGGAAAACAGTGCTGTGGGAGCTACTCTGGCTCGAAACGTTGAAATAGCTGTGAAACTTAAGGATAGTGACGCAGATCAAACCTGGGACGTTATGTACGAGGCCGTATGGATGTAAGCAATTCTGCAATCGCGGCGAATGATACTGAACTAACAAGCATCAGATCCATCGAGTTGAACGTAACAATCATCTGTTCGTGTCTGCTTGTCTGTCCACAACTTTTCCGCTATGTCTTGACCAACACAAAAGTTGGACAGTCTTTACGAAGTCTTTTCGGCTCAACCCGTACAACTCAAAGTTCTGCAAGCAGAGGCTCTTTATCCGGATTTAATCGACGAGGCCCACGGTCCAAACACTATTTACCACAAGATAGTGAGATTGAGCTTGATAGAAAGAGTGCTAGGAGTTTTTCTGATGAGATACCTGATGGTGCCATTAGAGAAACTAGAACGGTAGATCAGACCGTCGTGTAGAATACTCGCTCTCAGCGTATCATCAGTGGCGTGTACTGGTGGAGCTCTTCTGTAATCTTAAAATAATTCAACCCGAAGAATCTTGTACACGTGAAATGTGGGCTGCCAACTCTTACACTGAGGATACTGAGATTTGCCTATATTGAATCACAGTGGCGTTTTCAGAAAATCTATGAAAATATTGGATTTGAATATTGAAGAGAGTATGTCCTTTTTGTGTTGCGTTCTTTCTTGGCCAGACGAGCGCTTGTGTTTAGGCACGTGACTTGGCTGGTTTGAATTGACAATCATCTCAGTCTGTTTGAGCTGTTGATTCTTCAAGTCGATCAGCCCTGATGCATACATATCAATTTCCGAGTGAATAGGTTGGTATCGTGTAGTTGATGAGATGGAACAAGGAATTTAGAGACTAAAGTGTGATCGTGTGATGCGCACCTGATGAAAAAGATGTCATGATAATCAATCTCGACTTTCCACTTCGCAGATGAACACGTGTGGCGAGGCGTAACTAATACTACTGTACGATAGGTACCTTCTGTTTAGGCATTCATTAGCTTGTCTCGTTTGTCTTGTCAAACGTTATGGTCTTATTAAGCTTTAGGCGTTAGCTCGGCAGGTGGGTCAGCATGCTAGGGGGGCTGGTGACGCTAGCCTTTCTTGCCCCGAGTAAACAAGAGAGTTGCAAGACTAATGCTGCTTATGCAAGTGAGCACATACTTACAGGTTGAATAGGGTGATTGATATACAATCCCTAAGTCTCAAAGCTGAGGGATTTTATCTATGATTAGTGACCAAGACTTCCTCAGAAATCAGCCCAATAAGATCCTAGGCATATGTCACTGCCTCCATAATTTGAGATTACACAAAACACGGGAACGTTATTTTTACGGATGGTGGTGGAGGTCCTGTATGTCCGTCAGATGTTACATTGCTTAAGTCAAGCTTGTAGATCTTTTCCGTGCTTTATTCCGGAGTAATTTTTCCAGGTTCTCAATCCTGGGGTTCTGCAGGAGATATTGCTACATGGCATTCACGACGCCTACGCGAGTCGCAACAATGCTTTCATGCCGATTGCTGTCTCCTGACGATGTGGAAAAATCTGGAATGGTTTCCGGGTAGTAGGGCATTCCCATTAGAACTGTTGAACACAGACATAGTCTGCCGTTTCCCCGTGCTCTCCACCACCATGTATAGGGAGAATAATGGATCACTATTTTTCTAATGAGTTTGGCCTAAAGGCTGTCAGTCTGTACTTTGTGGCTTTTTTTCTAGCAGTGAGTTACAGTTGTAGTCCTCTTTGTTGCCTTAAATTTTGCGTGCCTACTTTCTCTGTTTCGTACTGAAACGTCTCTAGTATAATACTTTCCGATGTTTCTACAACCACTTCTTCCACCCGCTGTCTAAGTACCCAGGCCCACTGCTCTGGAGGATTTCCCGTCTTCCATACGCAATATCTCTGTCTCGCGGTAACCTGGTCCATGACACTTGGGCCATTCACACCAAATATGGCAAGGTTGTACGATTGGCACCAGACGAACTATCTTTCATCGATGGCCAAGCATGGCATGACATCTATGGAGCGCGAGGTCGTGGGCATGCTGAATTTACCAAAAATCCCGCTTGGATTAGACCAGCTCCAAATGGAGTCTTCTCAATTCTGGATTCTTTCGAGGATGATCACACAAGGCAAAGGAAGATCTTGAATCATGCCTTCTCTCCTAGCGCTCTGAAAGCCCAAGAGCCATTCTTGCAGAAGTATACGGGCCTGTTGATACAAGAAGCTCGAACACGAAGATTCCTGGATCTGAAAGATTGGTACAATTTTACTACCTTTGATATTACGGCAAGTGTAATCTTCGTGTGTAATTGTGTTAGATTCTGACAACAGGAAACACAGGGTGACTTGACATTTGGACAGTCGTTTGAATGTCTCGCGAAAGGAAGATATCATCGCTGGGTATCGTTCCTCTTTGCCCATCTCAAAGCATCGTGCCTCCTAGCCAGTATAACTTTTTACCCGGTAATTGATAAGATTTTATGGTACTGTATCCCCAAATCAGCCTTCAACGAACGTATATATCATTTTCGCCGTAGTGTAGAATGGGTACAAAAACGTCTCAATCTAGAGACTGGTCGCAATGACTTCATGTCATATATCGTTGGCGCTAATACGAAGAATACAATGACCATGCCGGAAATAGAAGCAACAGCAGGAACATTGGTCATTGCAGGAAGTGAAACCACTTCGACAGTGCTACTTTCAACAACGAGAAACCTAATGTTGCAGCCTGAGAAGATGAAAAAGTTGAAGAAAGAGATTAGAGAGACGTTCTCGGACGAGTCTGAAATTACCCTGAAGGCTCTCGAGAACCTCCCTTATCTCACAGCCGTATTCCAAGAAAATTTTCGATATACCCCGCCAGTGCCGTGCTCTATACCACGTACTGTGCCGGATGGTGGTGACACAATTGCTGGAGATATGTATCCAGGAGGCGTGAGTTCAGTCAAGTCTTAACATCCCTAATAAAATTGAAACACAACTAATTCCTCCACCTCTCTGAAGACATTCGTCGGACTTCCTCAAATCGCTGCATATCGCTACCATGATCACTTTGCCCATGCCGACCGCTTTATACCAGAACGCTGGCTATCGTCAACCTCATCTTCTCTGTTCGAACCAACTACCTCCGATCCATACTTCGACAAGGAAACCTTCAAAGATGATAACTTCAAGATTGTGCAGCCGTTTAGTGTTGGACCACGAAACTGCATTGCACAAGTTTTAGCTCATGCCGAGATGAAGCTCATACTAGGTCGTTTGTTGTGGAATTTTGATTTCCGCATTCCGGAAGGAAGGGAAGGGGAACTTTGTTACAAGAAGTTGTGGGTGGAGCAAAAGACATACGGCTTGTGGGTCAAGGAGCCGTACGTTCTAGAAATGGTTCCTGTCGTGAGACATGATAAGGAAGTCGGATTGTCTGCCTGAGACCTATCGTCAGTGAAGCTAGATATCTCAATGATAGCTATATGTCTTCCAATTCAAAATACATGACTTTCCAAATTCTCACATTATTTATGGAAAATAACAATGTATCGTATGTGTAAATTGCCAATCAACTCTACTAACTCCAAGATTGATTCCAAATAGCTGCCGCGTCTACCTGTGCGATTCGCTCATTTCTCATCATGAGTCGCAGAAATGATCATTGTCCGCCGAATATTGTGACAGTGTTCATCTAAAAAAAGAACGGTGGTGCGAAATCGCCACATATCATTTCCCGTTCATATTCTAATCTATTTCAACGAAGACTGGCAAGCTATTCTCCCGAATCGATTTCATCCACCAAATGAGATTTCGTCCATTTCTGCCAACTTTCACACGTCGGCAATATTGATTTCAAAGCCTGGGAGTTATTTGCTAACACACCCGGTTGTTCCTGGAGAAAGTCAGTGAATGAAATATAGAGGCCATGGATTCGTTTCCAGGTTAAGGTACGCACCAATACATTTATTAACAGCCCAGTTGAGACATGTCCAGCGACGTGGCAGTGAAACGGCCATACACCAGGATTATCAGCAACATATTCGATGACAGTGTATGCCTTTGGGCCTGTTCTAAGAGCTGCTGCCATCATGAAGGTATCTCTTCTGATCGGATTGGATGGATTAGTTATGGTTCCATCCCATGTGCCAACTCCTTCGGCCAGTATCCAAAAGTTATGACCATGAAGATGCATAGGATGAGAGACTGGCACGCTGTTTGTAATGATTAGACGAACAGAGGCAGGCGTTCCAAAATCTTGAACGTTCATAGTAGTTGGATAGAGCGATGTGCTGTTGGTATATGTACCGCTGTTCGATGTTGAGGTTTTTGCTGTTGCGGCTGTAAGAAGAACTGGCTGGTTGTAATCCGCCCGGAAAGAGCTGCCACCGAAGGTGAATAGAAACATGCCGGAGCCATTGATAACATAATTTATGTCTATTGTTTGGGTGACTTGTGGTGTGACTGGCGGAGTACTCTTGACATATGGGGTAGTTGTATTAAGGGGATCCTGAATGTCTGGTTAGAGATGGTACTTTCATGTATGGCCTTAAGAGTGGGCCGCTTACGTTCAAGCAATTCGTTTCGTTGTAAGGAAATGGTGTGGACTTGGGCCTGCTGTTTGGATTGGCGCCGTCGTACAATACTACAGCTAGAGCGTTCGGCTGTAGACTGGGGCTAGATGCGCACAGCTGGCTAAAGTTGGAACGCATCCAATATGATGATCCCACCTTGCCAATAGCTTTAACTATCACGTCTGTGCGCTGTCCAACTCCTACAGTTACCACATTCGTGTCATATGGTACGACTGGAACGAAATCAACAGCAATAACTGTCAATACATGCCCATCGATACTGAATTTCTGGTTCCCTTCTGTGCCTGGGTTTATGAGACGAAGCCGGTGCGTCTTACCCGGGTGAAAATGAAACATAGAAAGCCCGGCGTTGGCTGTACAAGAGGCATTCACAGTGATCGCGCTACAATTAAAATCCATCTTTCCGTTGATCAGGTTATTGTTGGCTGCAAGTGGATTTGCAGGCACCGAGAAAAGTCGTTCCACCACTTGGTAGTAATCGGCATGATACCAATCATGCTGCAATTAAAAATGAGCCCAAGAACACGGATGATCTATTAAGAATTACTTACGAGCATAACCGGGCCGATATCAATATCATAATGAACGTTCTGAGGGCTGTTTGAACTTTAATGATAGGACCTTAGGAAAGATTGGGAGCGAACGAACCCGTATATGACTAATGGTCCGAAAAGACCAGCGCCGTATTGACCACTGTAATGACTGTGATACCATGACTTGAATTTTTTAATTAGACTGGAATTGTATTGGAAAGTTCATCACTTACAGTGCCATATTGATCTGCCTGCAAGTTTGTTAGGAAGGGCTACAAAGACACATATGAAGCTGAACATACTCTAAAGCGATACGTGAATTGGCTGCCAGGACTAATGGGACACTGGCTAATTCCAGGGACGCCATCCATCCAAGGTGTGCCATTCTGCAGAAGCCCGTGCCAGTGAATTGTAGTTCCTTCGTCTTTGATATGGTTTCGAACAGTGACTTGGATCATGTCACCCCAATTGGCATCAAGAAGCGGCCCAGGGAACTGCCCGTTAATGAGGATGACGCTATTTTACAATCTCGTTAGCAAAAAATGTTTGCCGTATGAATATCTGTCTCGAAGTACCTTTTGTTCACTCCGTCAGGAGCTATATATCCTCTAGTTATGGTCCAGTCATAATATACGGTACGCCCTGTATTTGGAATCGCTCCATAAGTGTTCTGCAGCGATGTCTGTGGCGCCTGGAATACTATCATTAATCTCGGTAGACGGCTAAGATGGCATCTAGAGAACATACATTTGTTAAGTTATAGAGAGGTAATTGTGGTGCATCGAGCGTCCCCCATAATGACAAGCCATTGGTCTGAAGTTGAGACAAGCTTGCCACGAGCAAAGTTGTGGCTTGGGTGATGAAGTCGGCGAAGAGCATTTCAAATGAGGTTTGGAGATGTTTCTCGACCCCAAAAGACGACTCTTGTATAACCAAATAAAAATTTGAAGTACTGAGCCAGGAACTTATACTTGTACTTGTGCTTGTACAAAGATGAACGATCTTGAGTAGCCTTTGCTAATATTCAAATAAACGATCCAGCATTTAGAAGTATGCAGGCGTGTGGCGATATTATGGAGCGTGGCTCTAAATCCCACATGGCTGTCATGTATTTGAATCCCTGCCGTGTTCCGGTAGCAAATGAGAATACCGTATTTCTGACAAGGTTGCAAGGGAGACAAATAAAAGTAGATATGGGTATGCAATAAGCCCAGCGAAATTAAAAATACACACGCCATTGATGCCGATAGCTTGATTTTGGTTACATCCGGAAAATCTACGATTCTTCTCGAATCTTGAGCTGACATATCTTAGCTGCTACCTCCAGGGCACAATGAAGCCTCCGAACCCTTTTAGCGAGGGTTATGGTCATTTGTCCTCTATTACTCACTACTAGAGAATTTGTTTTGGTGAATGCGCCCAATGCAAATTTTCGAGTACAGGCTCCCAAAGCTATCTAGGAGCATCTTGCGACCGAATGCGACCGTAAGCCCGAGATACTTGATATTGCGGCATATTTAGGCTGTATGCACGCATAGTGTAAGCCCGTAAACCTAGGAGAATCCTTCTATGTAAGTGTTTTTCGGTGTATCATGATAAATGATCGTATTACTCTCACTATAATATTCTTTCCAGGGTTATCAATCCTTTTCACATTGGGTCTCTTTTGTTCCAATTCGAGACTCGAAATGCAATGGTGGGGTGACTGGTGGTGATTTGGTTTACCATGGATCCTGATAAGTGAGAGAAGAAGTGATTAGTCAATGAATAGCTCTTGCTTGTGCCATTACCTTGTAGAAATTAACGATCATGTGGTTCAGAATCGAGTTTATGTCTCGAAACCCCCGTTCATTAGCCAGCCAAGTAGTTGTCAAGATGAATGGTAACGTGTCTCACGATTCTATGTCAGGGTAGATGAGGGGATGATCTTGTGAAACCCACTTGACCAAGTGGTCTGTGATGCTAGCCCCGTGCTTAGATGAAGCATACTTAGTATGTTACTCGCACCTAATGAGCCACTAGTAGAACATGCGTGATGAAGGAAGGGGGGGGGAGACTTTCCGATCTTTCAATCACTATCATTTCGATTTCAGTATCATGTAGCCACCAGGTAAGAACATGGGCAACCAAGAGTCAAGAAACGGAAACTTAGAGTATAAAATCAGGTACTTCGAAGTAGATGTACTGAAATCGTGAACAACCTTCTGCGCGGCAAAAGTCTTCGGCGGATTTCTATGTGGGTATAGATCAGAAGCCTAAGGTTAATGTCTCTTCATATGAGCACGGTTAGTCTAACATAGATCAGATAATGGGCGATTTGAAGTGGTATAGGCGAGTGTATACATCCGCACTTCCAAATGATCTTTTCGTTTTGCAGCTATTTGACTAGAGCAGCATTCTATAGATTGACAGACTTTTTCTCGAACGGACCACGGCATAAACTTTATTTGTGAGCCGGAGAATTTCCATAATCATCTAATATCTTGAATGACGAACGTGCGGTCAGCGATCTGCCATTTCCACCTAGCAAAGATCCTATGAGAGTGTTCCTCTTTAGTCCACTTGTGTCTGAATGTGTAGACTATGCTCTATATTTGACATGCTAGGTACGTATAACAACAACAGGAAATATTGCTATAGGGGAGGTGACAAGAATCTGAGAAGCGACTTTCACTAAAAACTGAACATGACTCATGTCGTACATTTGATTCCGAATATATTGCTCTTCAGGACTTCGATCATAGCACCAGAAAGGAATGGGAAACGATTCTTTTTGATGAGAAGGAAAACAACTACTTTCTCTGCTCATCGTCTCAAGAAAAAGAATTGAAAAACAATGAAGTGTTGAGAGATTTTGTAGATTTTGTGAAGAGAGTGCCTTTGAACGATTGAACTATGGACACTTTGGAGAAGCTCTATCAAAAGATAACCTCTTAGGCTTCTCCTGTAGAGCAAGATGAGATCTATCAAGATCGTTGATGATGTAGAATGTCAGAAATTCTGAAAAGTATTGACTAACTCCATTGATGGACTTTGATGAGAACACTTACAACGCTCAAGAGCTTCTGGGTGATGGTGTAACTCCGGAGGATTATGCCATCGGATGAAAGTAATTATTAAAGCACTTTTGTCTGTGTAATGCAGAGAAAAGTGCCAATAATAGCTTGGTTGCAAGATCTTGCAATGAATATAAATGAAAAACTTGATGAGTTCTCCTCACCGACCTCTGGGTCCTTGAAGACTACTTTTCAGCATTGGTAGGCAATTCCATATACTATCTGGAACTTCGTTAACTTGCAAAAAGAAAGGTACGAATTGAAGAGAATTGAAGAGGGGAGGCAATCTTCCATTAGAAAAACAAACCAAAGTGGTGATGGTAGATTTTACACAGCAATTTCAAAATCTCATTCCAAACACCCAAAAAAATCAATCCAAGCCGCACATCACCATCACCAATCCCCACCTTCCCATTTGATTACACCACACACGTGATCATCAATACCTCTCATCCCATTTGTGTATCAACAGCCTAGCTTACTAATCATGCCCACTAGCGGCTCACTCCAAGCAACATCACGAAATCTCCAAAAATACCTACAAATCGTACCACTACCGCATCTCCAATTGACACACCCGCCATGTTTCTCCAACGCTCAGCCATTGCTGCTGCTCGCAGAGCAGCCGTCTCTCCCGTCGTGAGACGCAGCTTCTCGTCCAGTATCATCAGAAGTATGTTTATCCTCGTTTGTTGTATCCCGAAAACTATTCGACCTCGGGTACCGAAGATCCTGGGTTTGAAGCTTGAGAAAAAGATAGACTGCTAGAGGATGGCTTGAGAGACTCATGGGCTAATTGTTATGCGTAGGAGAAGCCGCACCACCGGCCGGATCGAGCGACAGAAAGATTAAGAAGTTCGAAGGTGTGTTTATTCGCAAGGCCGGGGCGCGGGAAAATGGAGAAAGGAAAGATGGGGACAAATGGACTGATATATAATGCGCACCACGTGTAGAAATCAAGACCGAAGCCGATCTTCTCGGACCCGGTGCCGCGCCAGGAACTATCCCTACCGATCTCGACCAAGCGACTGGTCTCGAGCGTCTTGAGATCTTGGGAAAGATGCAGGGAGTTGATATTTTTGATATGAAGCCTTTGGATGCTTCCCGAAAAGGTACGCTTGCGTGGGTCTCTTAGGGTGAATGTCCGGCTTGGATTGTTGTGCATGAGGTTTGGGAAGTGAGATGAACGGAACGGATGAAATTAAAACAGAAGGGATTTGCTAATCGATGAGGATTGTATAGGCACGTTGGATAACCCAATCATTGTCAAGTCTTTCGGTGATGAACAATATGCCGGCTGTACTGGATACCCAGTTGACTCGCATGTTACTATCTGGCTTACAGTACGTCTCACAAACTCTTCATTCCTTCTTTCTACATGCCACCTTCCAGTACTAACTCTTCCACAGATGTCCCGCGACCGCCCCGTTGAGCGTTGCCCAGAGTGCGGAAACGTTTTGAAGATGGAATATGTTGGTCCACAAGAAGATGCTCACGACCACCACCACGACCACCACGATGATGGACACCACAACTACGAAGAGCCAAAGACCTTTGCTGATTTCGTTAAACCGGAATACAGATAAAGGGAGAAGGAAGGGGTTTCGGGTGCGTTGACAAGGTTAGACGAGGGTAGGAATGTAGAATAGTAGAGCGCGAAGTTGACATGTTCTCATAACCTTTCACTAGTCGTGCTCGATTTGATTACATGCAAGGTGCGCTTCCATGATCGATTTTCAATACCTAAAAGTTTCAATTTTGAACTGCCTACTTTTATTTTCATTCGATTATTTTGTTTGGTGTGGAATTGCTCCAATATTTCTATGTAAAGCACAAATTTTCCGTGTCATTTTGTCCACCCCCCCATTCTTTTTTGAAGCGAACCAAACCCCACGAATTTCCAGCAAACTAGCTCCAAGCTCTCACGTTTCCATCTCCATTTCGCAAGCCAGCCCTTTCCCGAGCTCAAATTTATAATCCGGTTGATAAAAAAAAAAGACTAAAAAACCCAATCGCTAACCTCCAAACATGCTTCATTTATGCTTGAGTCGTGAATCGTCGTCGCCATGTGGATGTGCATTATAAACAGCTGAACAGCAAATGCAGAATTTTGCAAGTTGTTTAAGGGGTATTGTGAATGAACCCATGGATGAATCAAGGGCAAAAAAAAAGCTCAACGATACTCAATGATAAGAAGCACACCAATCCATTCGCGCTGAAGTGAAATGGAAGAAGCCCCTATGCCACCAGTACATGCAATTTGTAACGGTGGCCGTTGAGGAATATATAGTAGAAGAATGTCTTCGTATTAGTTTGAGGCAAAGAAGACATTCGAATTGAGGCCTCAATATCAGAATGTCATTTGTCGACTGATTGTTGTATTTCCTTAGTTAGATGGACTTTGCTTCCTTGAGGGTGGCCTCGAACCGCCACTTTGGTCGGCGCTCTTATTTCCGTCAAATTTATCGTTTCCTGTTTGCTTTTCCTCATCTGATTTTGGGCCATCCGTGTCTGAACTGGAACTAGATTTAGAGCTAGAACTGTCATCATTGATTCGGCTCTCCGGAGTACCAGCAAGAGCTCTCGTCGCTTCCACTTTAGCGACAAGATTTATATCACTGTGATGGTCTGCCTCAAAGTCGCTCGCTTCTGTGTTGCCACCTTTGACCTTGCTAGAGTGACTGGGAGTCTGAATGGAAGCTGCTTCACTGAGAGCTCTGGCTCTAGCTACCATCTCGGATGCTTTCTCAGCTGCTCGTTCGGCCCTGATTTGCTTCTTCCACATCTGCGCATATCGACCTTTCTTTAGTAATAGCTCACTATGGGTTCCAGCTTCAGCAACTTGTCCAGCATGAAGGACCAATATTTGATCTGCATTAGTAATAGTGGATAATCGATGGCTATAGTTATAAAAATTAGTGAAGAGCGAATGAAAATTAGTCGGAGTTCTTACGCAATGACTAGCATGGTACGGCCTTCGGACAAGGTCTTCAATGCTTCTTGGATGTGTTGTTCGGTATCAGAATCTAAGGCGGCAGTAGCTTCATCAAGCATGATGATTCGAGGATTTTTGATAATGGTTCGTGCTATGGCTACTCGTTGCTTCTCACCACCACTGAGACGAAGACCTCGCTCACCAACCTTCGTATCGTAACCATCCGGAAATGCAAGTATCTTGTCGTGAATCGAAGCAGCTCGACAGGCATTGTAAATATCTTCATCAGTCGCGTCTTGGTTGGCATACCGAAGGTTATACATAAGAGTCTCATTGAAGAGAATTGTGTCCTGTGGTACAACACCAATGTGATGTCTTAGCGAGTCTATGGTGACGTCTTTAATGTCGTGGCCATCCAGTTGAATACTACCATTCTGGGTATTGTAAAATCGAAAAAGCAGTCGGAACACGGTGGATTTTCCTCCTCCGGACTCTCCAACAAATGCTGTAGTGGTGCCTGGTTTGCAGGTAAAACTCAAGTCCTCCAGTGCAGGCTTACGGGTATCATAAGAGAATTTAACATGATTGAAGTCGATTCGGCCCTCACATGCTGGCAGTGGCTTCGCACTTGGCTCGTCAATGACAGTCGGCTCTTCTTTGAATAATTCAAGGAGACGTTCGCCACTGATCATAGCGCTTTGGACCCCCCGATAGAAAGAACCAAAGAAATTCAGAGGCTGTTGAAGTTGGCCCATATATGTGATGAGAGTCACAAACTGTCCCACTTGACGTTTACCAGTTGTGACTTGGTATGCAGCGATGAATGAAGTTACAAGAAGTCCAGCCATAAAGACCAAGTTTTGACTAATGTTGAGAATATTCAAAGAAATGGTCACTTTGAATTCCATCTTTTGAAATGCCGAAACCGCTTGTCGGTAACGATCAAATTCATAAGTCTCAGCGTTGAAGTATTTAACAGTCTCATAAGATGTTAAAGAGTCATTCTTGACAGCATCCTCCTCGCGGCTGAGGTTCTGCATTTGTCGACGTTGATCCGATCGCCATCTTGCCATCCGAATGGTCAGATAAAGATAGGAAAAGGTGATGATGCTAACCACGAGAGCGTAGTATGCGTCAAAGGCATATGCGAAATAACCGATAGCAACTCCAAGATCGAATATCATTGGAAGAACCTGGAAGGTCACTTGCTCTAGGAAATTATTGATGGCGTTACCCTTACTAAGTGCTGATAGGACTTCTCCAGTGCGCTTTCCGAGATGGAAATCCAAACTCAGACCATGAACATGCTCAAATGAGGCTGTGGTCAAGGCCTTGTATGAATACTGAGAAATTGGAATCCACAGAACCGATCTAGCAGCCCCTAGGATTCCAGAAGATCCTTGAAGAAACTTGAAAGCAATGAGAAGAGAAATGGACAGCCATGGCATTGTAACCTCGTGATCATCATCGCCAGTAAGCGCATCAGTGACCCTTCCGACTTGCAAAGGAACCGCGATGTTCACTATTCGCTGCATGACGACAAGAAGGAAGCAAACAACAACTACTATTTGCAAGCGAACGGATCTAGCTGGCCAGAGGTATGGAAAGAAGAGTGAATATCCTTTCAAATACTCCCACCATGTTTTGGTTGTAGCTGTTGTGGGTTTATAAAACGCAGGCACTTCGTCCACACGCTGCTGACCAATCGGTCTTCCTTGAATGTCAACGCCCTGTGCTGCAGAACCATTCGCAGTCGCATGTCCATTCAAAGATAAGGAGTCGGAAGCAGACGCATTTGCAATTGAGCCATTTCCAGAGACATGGCCGTTTCCATTCGCTCGGCCATTGAAAAGAAGGGGACTGTTCTCATCAGGCTCACTGCTGCTCTGCCGGCTTCTATTTTTGCCTTTAATTGAACGTCCCAAAGTGAAGATGCAATAAAAAGCGACACAGAAGAAAAGTAGAACTACCCGAATTGCATCGAGTACCAGCTCAACAATTTCCCATTGAGTTGCGTATTTGTGAAAGTCCGGATTGAAGTTGAAAAGCGAGTTGAGTTCCCGGTGAGCTGAGGTGTATAAGGATAGCGAAGCGGCAAGAAGTACAATCTCGCCGACCAGCGCAACTAACCATGTAACCTGATGTGCAATCGAAGGTGAGGGAGTTGTGTCGACCAACGAAATGAGAAAGACACTATAGAAAAAAAGAGAGGCGCAGACGTATATCTGCATGAAACAATGATCAGTATCTATTTCATCCACAATGGTAAGTCGAAAAAGTGAATGCTCACAGCAGTTGCCTCGCCACACCACCAACCATTCTCCCGTTTATCAAGAGCGTGTACGACGATGTTGATCGCATTGCCGAGAAACGTTACTAGAATGCCAGCTGAAAGCCAAAGAAATAACAATTTCTGAACAGGAGTGAAATCCTGCAGCTTGAGCTTATCCTTATCTTGTTTTGTCCTCCTGGCAGACCGCGGTAAAGGTTTTCCCCCAGGACCTGTGAGCATCGGTCCAGTCTCATCGGAAGATTCCGCAGTTAAAATGCTGTGTGTGATGAATGATATAAGAAAGACGACTAGAAGAACCCATGGATAATTGAAGTGCGTGAGGTTCAATATTGTCGCTGTGGTATAAGTACCAGTTCCATTTGAATACATGCTGGAGCTTAAGCTCGAGTATTCATCGACGCCCGCCATTACAAGTTATATTATGTTTGAAAGACTTCCCCTTCCTTCCTTCCTTCCCTCATCAGTATGCCGGATTTGAAAGCGATCGTGGACGGCTCATGACCCTTTCGATTGGGGCGAGCTTAATTTTGGGGGAGGAAGTTTGTACCTATGTCGAGAAAGCGCGATGTCAAAGTAGCTGTGGCTGGCTGTGTGGCGATACCGAGGTATAAAACGATTGAAATTGGACTTGATACCTAAAAAGGAATTAAAAGAGGAATGATCAGCGAGAGGAGTTCGAGTTAAAGTAGTTCATCTGCGATTTGCGGTGTAACCAACAAACGCAGTTGTCGAGTTTAGAAGGAGATGATGGATGGGCTTCAACAAATAGTAGATGTGAGTGTGGAGTTGTAAATAAGTGATGGTGGCGGAGATGGTGGTGGGGAATCTTCACTCAAAAAAAATACTTTAAATAGTTTCGTGTACTAACTTAAATACTGAATACCTACTTTGTGTTTCTGGACCATAAAGTGAGGATCAAAAGTAGGTGAAGAAGATGAGGAGATGAGAAGATGAGATGAGAGAGGAAGAGGTATGGGAATGGGAAGAGAAAGGAGACGAGGTAGAGGAAGGAGAGGAAGAGGAAGAGGAAGACAGTTTCTGAGATGAATTGAGACGAATTGAGACGAAGAAGAATGAATGATCGGTTGACAGTGCTAATAAAACTAGAAGTAGGACTAGATGTGAAACTTGAAGTAGAACTAGACGTAGAACCAGAAGTAGAAGTGGAAGTAGAAGAAGATTGACGAGATAAGACGAGATGAGATGAGATGAGATGAATTATACAAGAGGTATGAGGGAGTGAGGTAGTGAGGTAGTGAGGTAGTGAGGTAGTGAAGTAGTGAAGTAGTGAATTATCAGTATATGACAACTTGTTGGAAGGTCAAGCAAGATATCAGGTACTAATATGCACGGTATGTATGTATGTATGAATGTATGTATGTATGTATGTAGTACGTATTGTAATTCTGTGGCTTTCTGAATGTTGAAATTTATATTAAGAAAAGTATAAAAGACATGAAATTCCCAAAGTATGAGTGAGGTTGAGATTGAGAATGAGAGTGAGAATAGATAGGTAGGTAGGTAGGTAGGTAGGCTCGAGGGAGGGAGGTAGGTAATTCTGATGCTGGTTGATACTTTGTATCGGGGAGGGGGCGGTGTTGTTGATCTAAATAGCCAAACTTCAAAGAAATATAAACATTTTTTTTATCTTACCTTTGGCTCTTGCACTTTCCAAAACCTTTATACTCTCTTTGAGCTTCCTTCCACTCTGGGCACAAATCAACTTCTCAATGTACCCTTCTCAACAAGTTGTAAGTTGTCTGTCTGGCTGGCTGGCTGGCTGGCTGTCTTTCTCAATGCTTCTTGGCTGGCTTTTATATCCCAGATCTCGAACTCAATCAAATCTTCTCAACTTTTTTTTGATCGATCCAATGATGGGGACCCGGATACCTGTCTTCGGGAGTGTGATTGCCGACAATAGATGCGCCAGGTTCGATGCAAAGGTGTGGATGCAGGTGTAAGTGTAAGTGTAGGTGTAGATACGGTACGTAGGCAGAGGTGTGTGAGTGGTAAAAGGGTGTGCAGGGACTTGGATGGAGAGGCACATGCAGCATATAAAAATAATAAAATAAAGCCAGAGTCAAAGCCAAAGCCAAAGCCTTGAATATTGGGTATCCTATGTCAATCAACTACAACAAAGTTTGGACGAAAGAAGAACGAAAATAAAACAAAAGGGCGATTCAGTCCTTCGATTTCTCCCGCATCGATTTAAACTTTGTTTGGTATGTTCAATGATTGGGTGAGGGGAGCGGGAGGGGGTGAAGGGGTTGAAGGGGTTGCAATTTCTTATATTGCAGTGCAGTCAGTGAATGGCGTTGGGTACTGATCTGAATATGTCAATGTGATTGTTCTTGTGGGTATGATATTTGTTGTACTAATAATAAACCACGTAGGTAGGTGTGTATAGTACGTATCGTACGTACGTAGGGTAGCTGTTTCGTAGGTGCGGTAAGAATGTACGGAGTGCAATGCCAAATATAATCTCCTTTAGACTTTCGCGTTCCGCTTCTTTTGGCTTGTTTCTGTTTCTTCTCGTATTTTCATCTCTGTCGGTTGTTTCGTACTATGCTTCTAATGGTTGATGAATCATGAGAGCCTCCTCATTTCTTTGACCGCCAGCAGAGCACAGGCATGATATTCAATCAAGGCATAGTGTGCTTCGGATCCAAATCAATTAGAGCGTCGGTACCGGTATAATGTCCACCAATGGGGGTTAGGAGGTGCTGTGGGAACTGGCTTGATGAGGGTTCCTATGCGCTTTGGATATGCTCCATCAAATGTTCAAAGAGGAAAAGTTTCCTGGACGATGAAGGTTGCGTTGGGACTTGAAAGATGGAAAGTAAAAGCTAGGAGACAGGCTAGAATTCACTCCACATGGAGTTTAAGTCGTGATTTGAGTATTATACACTGCATAATTCGCCTACCTACCATTCCTCTCAAGCATGCAACCCATACATCATCAATTGTGAAAGTATGCAATATATGTATCATGCACCGATATATGTGGTTGACGACTCGTGTAACAAATACGAATAGTCGAGATGTTCTTACTATTGCCCAGATATATGAGCTGAAACTACTAGGCACTCGATATTTCGCTACTTCACAAGCGTTCTTGGACCCTGATAATAATTGAGATAGAAGGGGTTTAATTGCGGGAAGAAAAACAAGCAGTGATGGTCTATTAGGTTGGGCTTTAAACTTTCCTACTTCATGAGTATGGGGGCTAGCAGCTTCATATTATAAGGGGGGCCGACAACGTTACGGAAGCATTCATTAGTTACAGAGGTACTTTGTACACCAACGCTATGATGAAGCAAAGTCTCGGTAAGTCTCGGTAAGTGCTCTTGCCTGCCGTCTGTTTCGTTGCTTGATTGTCTTACAGTGATACAAGAGCACGAACTTCCAAAACCATTCTCATCTATACACTGGAAGTCTATCTGCAACATGTGAGTTGTGTCTAATTCCCGTCTAATTGTGTCTGTCTAGTGGGTTGCAACCTACTCCGTACCGGTGACATCGACAGTCTACCGTCTACTGCCCAAGGATATTCTCTTATCCCTACAAATTTCTCTACCGGTAATATTACATCAACCCCCAGTATGGATGAGGCCTAGACCTTTACGATCCAATGGCACCACAATTGGCACACAACCCGAAGCCACAGAGGTCCGAGCGTTCATCTACTTATCCTCACCTGGGCAAGCTCCCAAATTTTTCATACTCTGCAGGAAAACCCCACTTCATCCCTGACACTAGAATTTCCGCTAAAGTACTCGAGAATGAATCAGGATCGACTGCATGTCAGATACTAGGTTACTGACACGTGGTAGGTCATGGCCTAGATGTATCCATGTACTGTTGAGAGTGGAGTAGTTCTACATTGGTATCTACATGTTGCCGGTTTACTTAAAGTCTTTGGGAAGTAACGGTGTAATCTATAATCGATGTATAATATCTATCGGGCCCAGGTAGTTGCTATTACACGGACGACTACATGGTTACTACTCTGCTATGCTACTGTAGAATACACCTTCAATGCCTATGCGATTCTTCAAGCCTACTTATCCAGCCGGGGAAACGAAGCCGTGAACAGCACGATAATTTATATCCAAACAAAGTACTGTCGGATCCGAGTCATACATGTGAATATCTGCATCTTTCAGGCATTAAGCATCGGTATCGCACATGTGTATTACTGTCAAAGTACGGCACTGCACAGGACAGTGATAAGTCTGGTAGCGAATTTCGATCTGGCTTACGGCAACACCCTCTCCGAACATTGGCGTTCCGTACCCCTCGTCGTCTCTCGTCAAAGCACCAAAGAGATGGCAGACATCTCCTTATGTACTCTCGTACCTCTTTCATTGCCAATATGTCAAGAGACTATGATTTCGATATGATGCATTACTGCCGTCGGGCAGATATCATACATATCACACATATTCGCGGAATTGGGCAGAGCTGCCGTGACACTCGGGCCGACCGCGCAGATGCGTAACAACTTACAAATACATGTTCTAATCCATTAACTTACATCCCATACAGTACTTTAATAATATATGGATGTATGGATACCCTCCAATAATGCGAGTGGAGGTGTGATTGTGATTGTCAACAACCCTTCCGTGGACATAAAGTAATCAATAACGAACGGCATGCCACTTTACCTCAGGTTTGATCGAGATTGGCGGTGAGAGAGGCGTTTCGGAGGCTTGTGAAATGGCCGAGTAGAGATGGTGTGAGTGGACTTTCCTCGTTAGGTTCCTTTTCCTTCTTTTAACTCCATGTACAATGTTATCATTTCGAGTGTGCTAGACGATATACCTTGAAAAGTATCTAAGCGGTGCTGGGTATACTTCGTCTAGCCGGAGGTAGATGTTATCTTCGAGAAGGAAAAGAAGACTATTGTGGGGTACGGGAAAACATTATCGTTTCCCATTAGCCACAGTATGCCTGCTACCTCATATATATCGTCTATTTTATTTGCAACAACGAACCGGTGAACTAATTTTTGACTTTTCACGACTCACGAGTGCTGAAAACTCCAAGTCCATCTATCTCGTAAGTATGAGGTAAAGAAAGGGGAGGGGTTTCGAAACAAGGCGAGTGAGGATCATTGCTTTTCTAAAGCCATCTTTCGGCTGGCTCTACCTCGCCGATTTCTGGCCGGAGAAAGACAACATTCATTCGGCGATCAATGTGTGATCAATGTATGCTGATCGCACTTGATCAAGAGATCGGATCTGATCAATTGATCTTTCATCACTATACATGTTCCTCATCTTGTCGGCTTTGCCGCTCACTCATATGCTAGCGGCTAGCCATCCTTCTTGCATTTCCGTCGCTATCACATTTTCAACACTGCACACTGCTTCTAGACAGAAACCTATCCCATCTGAAGAATTGGCTTTCCTCTTCAAAATCAGTATCCTAGTTATAAAGAATACCCTCAAGGGGAATAGTTCATAATCAGTTGATTCTAGGTCTTCACAGGCCCATAATCCCTACCTCTACCATGGTCGAACTTGTCCTTCGAGTCTGACAGGTCGAAATATAGCAAGTTTTGCTTGAATTGTGCTCCCAATGGATCCCACCGCGAAGTTGTTGAAATAATTCCAAAACTTCATTGGACGAGAGAGTGTGAAATCTCTCAATGCATTACATATTTTTCTTCAGGAACATATTCTGCTGCATACAGCTCCAAATGTTACCCTAAACTCCACACCTTTTTCACAGCGCTCCATGCTGACATCAGCGCATACATATTACGAAGCCCCCATCCTCCCCGCGAACCACAAATTTTCGCGATCTGTCCCTGCATATATATTCGTCTCATTTAGCCTCAACTTTCAATTCTTGGTTCGCATCCGCATTCCTCATCATACATGAAAAGAGATGAGGAGAAGGTTACTTTGCTGCACGAAATATTATAATGAACAGTTCGTATAAACCCAGAAACCGGGCATGGCAGTACCCAGTTTGAGAAGCCGACCGAAACCCAAAGGCCTCCCATTGTTCAGATAGGGCTCAACAATTGAGGAAAACTCATCGTTAATGGATTTTGGAATTGCCAAGCTACCGGCATATAGTTTGCGCGCCATGCACATAAATCACACGGTTCTTTTGCCCGAGAATCGGTACCACAAGTTCAGGCCCTACGGTCCACAGAGAAAGGCATTGCAAGAACGAGGCAGAACACACGACATCTCGGCCAACCGTTGCAATCCTTCCAGCTACCCGGCGAATTGCCGATACTCACACTTCTCTCGTACGACATCTGAATCACTCAGGCAACACGAGTAAGGTTACACCAGGAATCGCGAAACGACTTGCATGGTTATCTCGCAAAGCAGCGCCAAAAACCGCTAAAACTCCCACTTCGGTGTCCCCATGTACTTTATCTTGTGGGACATCCTCGAGAGGTATCCATGCAAGCATGTCATCTCGACAGAAGCCACAATATCGTTTTATATCTCCCAGCGTCCTGTCATATGCTCTCGTGTCCTCCACATAGAAGTTCGCTCATTTACACTATCCTCTCAAATCCGCCATCACTCGAGTCTTTTCACATGTCGCTGCAAAGTCTTCCTTCGCTTGCTGAGTGCAGAAAAACCACCTGATTGTGCAAGTGCGATCAAATCCATAAAGCCTTTTCTTACATTTCTGATATCTTTACCGCCGTTTCAAAGGTTTGCAGGTTTTGCGAATTTTGTATTCAGCTGCAGCGTTCAATGTTAGGTGAAAGGTTGAGCCGCATAGCAATGCAGAAATTCATAGCATCGACAATTGGGTGCATGGAATGTTTCCGAATAGGTAGATCGTTGTGGCGAGGAGGACTGAGAACACTTCATTGTAGTGGAATGAACGATCCTTTGATATCTTTGAGACCTGGGCTTTTGTAACGAGTGTCTTGAAAATTGACACTGTTTAGCCATGCTTCAATTTGCTTCAATTTGTTCTTTTCATGGCGAAGGATGTAGTCTCAAAATCTGTCATTAATGATCATCGGATATAATAGTACATGTGAACTAAAAGATCTGATTTCAAGACACTTGAATACAACTTACCTATCAGATGTTCAGCTGAACACACTCAAAGTTTGCAAAGAAAGTCACTCTGGAATAACGAATCTTTGCACGTCTGACATCACCATATATCACTATTATTCCCATCATCGATCTTCTCCTATTCAAAGACACACCCTCTCCCCTCCATCTGCTGAGACGTGAGTGATCTCCATCCTTTCAAAAGTTTAAAGCCGGCCCCAGATGTTCCAATAGAGACTTTCGAATTGAAAAGAAGACGAAAAACGAATACTGATGATCCGTTAATTCTCGTTCACATCTCTCATCTCATCATCTATTTTCCTTCATCTCCCCACCATCTATCTCCTTCCTATATCTGATGCCGGATACGTATGAGGAACAACAACGTAGCCATTCAACGGAAATCTCTCACTATAATTTTCCAGACTCGGATTCAGCAATACAATATGGATGACAAGATACATTAACCTCATGTAAGCTGGGAAGTAATCAAATATATCTGCATACCTACATCAATAGTGCCACTCACCACCATTGCAATAAGAACATAAATCTATTTAGAGACACTTGATATCGACACGTAGATTACTCCAAGCATGAACATCCAACATCATCCTCACAAACCCCATCACAATCTCTTGCCTACCTACAAATCCATCTCACCATCACTCAAACCACAGTTGCCCCAGCATTCTCCCCAGGAAACTCGGTCGAAAAGAAATCGACAGTTTACAAATTCTACGAAGCGAGTCTGTTTCGATTTCTCGTGAAAATATCTTGGTTTGCCTACCTATGTGTATTCTTTCCTCTCCTCACCTCGCTCACACCATCCCTTTTCTACCCCTAAATTTCCCACTCTCCATTCTCTACAAAAATCATAGAACTATACAAAGCACAACACTACAACAACAAACAAACTTTTCATGACACTTCCATCTACTCCCGCCTTTCTCCCTTCTCCCCTCTAAACGATATTAGAACCTCGTACTCACAATATCATATACAAGATAAATGAATAACTACACAAATCCTCTTCATATATCATCATCATCATCATCATCACAAAGCCCACCACCTACCTACACATCCTCCCCATACCCCAAAAGAATTATCCACAACCTGAACATTCTCCTCATACACCAAAACAATACCTACAATCCACTATCTACAATCCACAATCTACAATCCCAATCTCACAACCACAACCACGAACCCATCAAAGTCCATATCCTCAATCATCCATTCCGCTCTAACACTCCAGCCCATTTACACCCCTCACATTCCCTATCCCTATTCCTTGTCTACCCAAATTCATCCAACAGCTCTCTCTCTATACAAAGACACAAACACACCAACAGATAATCCAAATCCAAATCCAAATCCAAAGCTACCACCCATCCATCCATTCTACCACAAATATAAAAAGGAACAAACAAGCTACCAAACCACCCACCAAACCACCTCCAAGATTCACTCCTCATAAATCTCCCCCTCTCCCCCTTCCCCTTCTCCCCCCCATACTTTCCAAATCCCCACTTCTCAGTTCTCACTTCCCATTTCCCATTTCCCATTTCCCATTTCCCATTTCCCATTTCCCATTTCCCATTTCCCATTTCCCATTTCCCATTTCCCATTTCCCATTTCCATTCAAACTCTCAACATTATTAAACCACATCAAGATCCACATACAACGACTACCTAGTAATTTTCTCCTTTATATATATACAATACATATACACATACCTACCTCTACATAAAACTGCGCATACATGATTTTATTCTCCAGGTTATACACTAACCCCATCCCAATCTCCCATCCCAATCTCCCATCCCCAATCTCCCCTTTTCCAAATACCAACACCAGCACCAACACCAGCACCAACACCAGCACCAATCATACCATCTTCACACCATATACCCGAATAACTCTCCCCTCCCCCTCTTTTCTCTTTTCTCTAATATAGAAAATTCAGTTCTGGTATATTATAATTCTAGAATTTAAATAATCTATTTTATTCTATCCTATTTCTTTCTAACCTATTTCTTTCTATCTCATTCATCTCATTCATCTCATTCATCTCATCCATTTCATTTATCTCATTCATCTTATTTATCTTATTTATCTTATTTATCTTATTTATCTTATTTATCTTATTTATCTTATTCATTTTATTCATTTCATCTATTTTATTTATCTCATCCATTTTATCTATTTTATTCATCTCATTCATCTTATTCATTTCATCTATCTCATCCATCTTATCCATCTCATCCCATCCCACCCTATCTATCTCCTTCCCTCCCACTCACACCCTTCCACCTACTATCCACCTCCCATCCACCTCCTTTTCACATATATCCTCCCACAAATCTCCTCCCACAAATCTCCTCCCATACATCTACCTATCTACCCATCTACCCACATATCCAACTACTCAACTACCTATACAAAAAAAAAACACATTCCCACTCCTCCATTCCCACCCCACTCCTCTATAAAATACCTATATACCTATATATCTATATACCTATATATCTATATATCTATATACCTATATACCTATATACCTACATACCTACATACCTACATACCTACATACCTACATACCTACATACCTACATACCTACATACCTACATACCTACATACCTACATACCTACATACCTACATACCTACATACCTACATACCTATATACCTATATACCAACAACTTTCCAAATCCCAATTCTATTCTCTCACCCTCTCACCCTCTCACCCTCTCACCCTCTCACCCTCTCACCCTCTCACCCTCTCACCCTCTCACCCTCTCACCCTCTCACCCTCTCACCCTCTCACCCTCTCACCCTCTCACCCTCTCACCCTCTCACCCTCTCACCCTCTCACCCTCTCACTCTCTCACTCCCCCTTCCCAAAAAACCACTAAACAAAGAATCACCACCAAAATCATTCAGAAAAGAACATCATACATCATACATCATACTATACCATACTATACCATACTATACCATACTATACCATACCATACCATACCATAATATCATAATATAATTAAAACTACCTATATATATATTTATTCATCTATTCATTCCACCACCATCATCATCAACATCAACACAACAACAACAATAACAACAACATCCTCCCTCAAAAATATCCTCTCCAACCCCCCTTCCACCTTCCAAAATCCAAAAAAAAAACCAACACAAGAAGTTCTCCCAAAAAGCGATTGTGTACACGAAAATATCCATACAGCGATAAGTCATTCAGTAGCTAATATATACATAAGCCCCTGCCACCGCCTATACCCATAAGCGACCACGTACCACCGTAAAGAGTGGTGATGGATTCATTTGCGTGGTAGTTGAACGTTAGCATTAATCATGAGTATCGTATACTCATATCATATTTTCTCCTCCAAGTCCACAATCCTGAGATGAGATTCCCATGGATGTCCGACTCTTTCGATTTCGACCATTTCCACCTATCCTCAGTTTCCTCCAGCTTGGCCCAATTTCTGGTTTCAAACCTCTTATTTCTCCTACTCTGGTCAAATCATATTCTCTTCCAACACCACCCTCCAATCCACCTCAAGAATCCAATCTAACATTCTCCTTCCTATTTGTAACTCCATCCGTCTTCAATTCCACCCCGGTACCCCTCCCATTAATAGAATTTCCATTCAGCTTGATCTTTGGTTGAGGGGTCTCCTCTAAGACCTTCTTAGCAGCCACGACATCAAGCCCCTCCTTTGCCAATGCATCTAATTTCATTTCTTCTGCCAGTTCATTCTCATCATTATCCGATCTGTCATCTTCTACTATACTCATGAAAACGAATCTGTAGGCGATACGCAGAATATAGAAGAGCCAGAAAAGATTGAGAGCTTGTAAACTAGCGAGAAGAGCGGTTGAGATTACTTGTGAGAGTAGGCATTTGTATTGTTCGGTTTCCCAGTTCAATTCATAAGGACCGACGGTTTTAAATTCATTGAATTCCGAGTAGAGAATTCTGAGGTTGAGATAATGACGGAGGTAGACCCAAGCAGCAATGAAGAATGCGAAGTAAGGTCCTACAAGAGGGTGATCCAAGTAATTGAGAGTTTTGGATGTCTAAAAAATTGTTAGTCCATGTCGTACGTTTTAGGACATGAGAGAATTGTAAACATACCGCTAGGAAGAAATCACTAATATCATGAGTGACATAAACAGCCAAACCCATATATGTGAAATGAAAACGGTAGCTCAACCCAATAAGGAACAAAGACACAATGTGATGTCCCACCAATTCCCTATAATCCTTCCTAGGCTTCTCCAAACCCAAGCATAAAACTAGAGCCTGTTGCGCCCAGTATGCAGCCTGGAACAAGTAATAGAATTTGAATATCGCCTCGTGTGTCTTGTGCGGGAATCCCTCATACATTCCATGTGTATTGAAATACCAAACCGGGGTTCGACTCATGACGTACAAACCACAGGGACCGAGGAACCCAAAATAGATCGCAGTGTACATCTGTTCCATGAATCTTGATTGTTTAGCCCTACTCTTCAATCCACTCTTGCGAGCCAATGGTCTGAGGAATTTCTGCATGATGAATTCGCGAGTGAAGGATAAAACCACAATGTAGAAAGAAACCAAAGCGAAATCCCACGGTCCTTTGCCGTATTGAATTGGTGCTCCCGGGTCCGACCCTTCCTCGCGAGGAAGTTCGTAAGCTGGAAAAATGAAATAGTGTAGGGGATTGGATTTCGAAGGATTGATGGCGTATAAGGAGAGGACAGCGGCGATGATAGCGAGAGGTGTAACCCAAGTATGCTTCAATGCATATCTTTTATATTGTTGCAACAGTGTCTTTGCTTTGCGCCTTTTCGAGTATGGTTTCTTTCGATCTCTATCTGCCTGTGCCTAAATACCAATACATCCATCAGTGTCTGCAATCATCCGCAGAAGAGAAGACAGAGAAGAGAAAGTACTGACCTTAATTGTCCCGGGAGAGGGTGGTCTAACATCGACTGTAGCAAAAGCCGGCGCACCAGTATCTCCAGCTCTAATTTCACCACCTAACCCACTAGAACGCCGTCTTATTCTCGGAGATTCAATACTGCTCGGCGCATTGAGCGGTGTCAATTTATCTTGCTTCGCTGACGATACCAGCTGCGGGAAAGATTCCGTCGTAGAAGGCATATTTGGGAAGACGATGAACAACCCAAGTAATCTTTATGAATCAATGAACTTTCCTCTCCCTGTAGACCTATCTGATTTACAACTTCCCGAATACCAGAAAAAAGTGGTCAATTACAAAAGAAGTATGTGCAATGGTTCAACCAATCTTAAGAAACATGCAATGGTTTTGAAAGAAATGTAGAAACTTCAATGAATCGATAACTTGGGGGACGATACAACTTTTTTATGAGCATCCCGAACTACCACTCGGTACGTACAACATGCTCACTTACAAATTCGTCTAGGATCCTCGGACATCCATCTCCACCATCCGACATCACTTTGGGCATTCCCCTGTTATCGTTCATCAAAGGATATTTCAACAGAACAATGCACCTCTAGCGATTTTACATCATCAATGCCATAATTGTCTTCATATTCGGTCATGTCTAAATCGCAAACGGGACTTTGAATCTTGAACATGCATGCATATGCTTGAAATCGACACCCAAAAGGGTACTAGTTCCTCTAATCAAAAAATGCTACTGCTTATGAGCCGGATGTCCTCATGAAAGGAGCATCCACTTGTGTTCCCAAAATGCTACTCATTGGTCTAGTCGTAGTTTTTGGCTCGTAGTTTTTGGCCTCGTAGTTTTCAGACTCCTTCACAAATCGCAAATGTCAATTGAATTACGTAGATATTCTTGGCGCAATTATCGATCCAAAAATAAAAAGGGGTATCTTTGGAATTCACATCAAACCACGTTGCTAATTCTTCACTATGCTTGAAACAATACTCCATTATGATATTCGTGGTCTCATGCTTTGATTACTACTATATGTATAACGTAATCGTAGTTCGTATACATTGTGCTGTGGTATCTATATCCATATCCTTTTCCCTCCTCCCAAAGTCCAGCCGTAAATTTTGGGGAAACTCCTTTTTGGGTGTCCCTATACATCAATGTACAAATGCTCAAATCCTAACGCCACGCTTATGCTCATGCTCAAATCAGAATCATACCAGAATTGCTATGTCAAGGATTTTCCACCCTTGGCCGTCGCGGCGGTGCCGGTATAGTCGTTACTGGTAAACCATCTATAATTGGAGGAAGAGACGGTGTGACAGGACTTCGAGCTTGAACAGGACTACTTCGTGAACTCGAAAATGTAGGGGTTTGACGGCTCCCTACAAGAGTTGGGGAAGCAGTGGCATTTTCAACTCGTTGATCTAGTTCCGGTTGCACTGCAGTTGCAAATGATATACTCCCGCGATGCGTAATTGAATGTTGGTTAAGGCTATCTGGAGTGTAAGGATCGGTTGTTCTGGCAGGTCTATCTTGCCTCGAGGTAGTAATCTCTATGTGAGAAGATTCATCAGGCGTAGGACTGATTGAATCTGTATCCGATTCCCCCAATTCCCTCGCGGTAAAACGTCTTCGAGTTGGTGCTGGAATCACCGTCAGAGGAAGCGGGTCTGTATCTACTGTAGGACGTGCTTTTTCACGGAACCTTTCTGCCTGGGTTGCCACGAAACCTTCAATTCGAGCACGCACATCCCACTTATTCGAAGATTCATGACTACCAAAAGGTGTTGGAGGCTTCGCAGTATGCAACGAAACTTCTGCTGGAGGCCCTTGGACTCGATGCTTAAATGGATTAAAGGAGTTCCACTGCCAATTATGAGCCCCCGCCGCGACTACAGGGGCTTGATTCCTCTGCTCCAGAATGACTGGCTTATCCGAGTCAACTTCTTCATTACTAATGGACCTGCTAATGGATATAGCTTCACTATTACTTCTCGAGAGTGTTGTATCCCTAGCAACTATTGGCGGAGTTGCTTCACTTATAGGATGATATCTCACTGTATATGCAGTGCTCTCGGCGCTGGCTGTATCCGCCCTATTAATAGGTGTAGCAGCAGGCTGGGGTCGAGTGGGCCAAAGTGGAGGACGGACAGTTAATAAATGCCTGCCAGTGCGTTGACCAGGACCAGGACCAGATCCAGTCTCGAGATCGTTCGTGGCATGGGATCTATAGCGATTAGCCAGCCCAGACATTGCTGGCCAAGCCGAACCCGTAGAAGTCCCTCCCTTGTCATCGTTATCTTTACGGAAACGCTTTGTCCAATCTGATGTTGGAGTAACTTCTAGCATTTCATCCCCATCAAAAACTTCCCTTCCGAGCACTCCATCCTTCTTCTCGTCCCTTTCCAGAGCTTCAATTCGCTCCACCCACTCCCATACCACTACACTTGCTGCTGCAGCTCCAACCCATCGTACGTAATCACCCCATGCAGCAAGCGTTGGCTTGGATATATCGAGAACGAAGAAGACCACAGGCACTAGCACTGATACCAATGATAATAATGCCACCAAACATATGTTCCGCATTTGCGGATGATAAAAGGCGTAGCGCTTCTTGGAAATAGCATAGTATATGACCCAAGCGCAGTACAGCAGACTTAGGGCAAGTTGAAAGAGGTAAGCTAAGGCGGGCACAGCATCTGTAAAAAGGCGGGGTCGCGAATTGCCGTTGTAGACAAAATTGTTGAGGAGACTGAATAAAACATCCAGTGTAATCAGAGCAAATCCGGTCCATTTGATTATAATTTTCTCCCGCTGTCGTGGAAACAATCTTATCAGAGTTTGGGCTTGCGCTAGCCACAGGAAGGTATCCGAGATGATGCGAATGATCTTGAGTTCCCTGCCCCCCTCGACTTCTTCTTGTAGGGCCGTCGCATTCATGAGTCCAAGCTCGTATTGTTGTTCCGCGACACGGAATGTGTTTGCTGTCGCAATAGTTAAAGAGATTGCAACTGTTAATGCTGCAACCTTTTGTAACCAAGGTCGTCCACCGATGCCAATCCCAGCATCACTCCCGGAAGGACCATTGGTGAATCCGCGCCGTCCTAAAACCACGGCGCCTTGGACGAGAAATGTCCTTGGGGTAATCAAAAGCATTATGACTAGCATATATGCAATCACAGTCGTGGCGGCGAGTGCGTAACATGCCGGTATCGTGGAAGCGTAGAAGGGATCGCGAAGATCGACGAACGAAGTGGGAGTGCCTGCATTGGTGAGGACAATATCGGCCGTACCTGTGCATTCGGGACTGAAGATGGCATTGGTTGTGAGAGTGAAATACTCGGATGCGCCCAGATTAATAACTCCGTTGGAAGGAAGGGTGAAAGGCGTGCAATGAGGGTGAGTAGCGGTTGTAGCCACTGAAGTCGAGGAAGGCTTCAAATTGTTGATTAATTGTCTTCGGTCCATTTTCATCTGTCGGGGGGGCGGCCCTGCCGCTAATCGTTCATACAAACTCAATGTGAAGTTATCGACATGTTAATAATATTTCGACGGCTTTGATCAATAATCGATATGGAATATTTTCGTCTTGTTTGAACGATTGCGATATATATAATTGGGTTGCGTTGTGTTGGTCGTGAAGTGGTGAATTGAAGATCAATTTAAAAAGCTGGTAGGTAGTAGGTAGTAGGTAGTAGGTAGGTAGGTAGTGGTGTTCGAGTCGCTCAGGCTTCGTTGAATAGTACGGTAGGGTACGGGGCGGTGCGTCTTTCGAGTAATAATTATCAGAAGCCAGGAGAGAAAGACAAGACAAGTTCCAAGAGAGAATGAAAATCACAATTAGAATGCAAAGAATAATAGATTATTCACACTTCCACTTTGGAATTTTATGAACGGTGCAATCAATCAATGTATACAGTAGAAGCAGGGAGCAAAGTAAAAAGAGATTGAAGTTATTTTGGGGTCCAAAGGGAAGAAAGGGAAGAGAAGGCAAAAAGGTGTTGCTGGGTGTTTATGAGTTTGGATTCATGAAATGTTCGAGATCAGTTTCATTGAATCTGATTAAATTGGTGGCGAGTCGTGAGCAACTAGGGATAGAATGGGATAGAATGGATGTAAGATATAATTATGTCCGCACCGGTATGAGAAGGTCTCAACTCACAAGAAGGGTAGAAGGGTAGAAGGAGAAGGGAAGGAGGAGAAGGGTATGTATTATTATGATAAGAGTCAATTAAAAGGAAGGAATCCTGGATGGAGAGTAGTGTGAATGTGCTGACGGATCGCTCATCGTATCGAGTACATACCACACATACCTACTAGGGAGGGAGGTATATGCATTTCATTTCTTCCAGGGTTGCTCTCCGGATTTATAATATGAATATGATATGATATGTATGATATGTATGATATGTATGATATGTATGATATGTATGATATGTATGATATGATGTTCAACCTATTGATCCTCCATTCTCGACTGCAGTTGCTTTCCTTTTCCTTCCTTGTCTCTTCTTTTCCCTTTCGTTCTCTCCTTTCACCAGCATTCAATCCACCATTCAATACACCATTCAATACACCGTTCAATACACCATTCAATACACCATTTAATACACCATTCAATACACCATTCCATTTATTATACTTTCCAACCCCCCAACTAACACCTAGGTAGCCGATATATCTTTCTCGGAAACACCTGTTACATGTTTCCATTTCGAACTCAAATTCGTATCGGTACAACCCTCCCTCCCCCCTTCCAAGTTCCTACCTAGGTGATACTAGATTCACGACACCAGCCAGACGCAGCCAGACGCAGCCAGAGTGGTCATGGAAACCGATTGATCAGAACTCTAGATTGTAACAGCCTCGGACGTGGTCATGTCCCAGTGTCGTCAATAAGATCATGTACACACCTAGTCCTATGCTACTTGACCAATTTACTTTTCGCATCAGCTCACATTATCTAGCTTGACCCTGTGTCTGTCTTGCACTTTGTATTGCCCGGTGCTACTCTTCCTTCACTCTTTACCCTTTACCCTCATGTTGCAACTGGCCATGGGCCAAAGCACCACCGATCATACATGGGTAAGCCAGCAAATCTCAAGCCAAAGCTAGAACGAGACACTCGTGGTATTGGGAAGTGAGGATGGATGGTTCCATCGTGGCCGGTAAAACTTTGCGAGGGCTTGAAAATTTCACTCGGGTCGTTTCGTTTTATTCCTCATGGGGTTACATTCGGTATCAGAGAACCCAAAGTTTCGTACCATGCTCGGAATCACATTGACGTGCACATTCCACCCCATTCGCATTCTATTCTCATTCAGGATCTTCTGTCCTTTCACCACGGTGGGAAATTCAATGTGAACTTTATACTTTTAACCTTCCAGAGAAATGCTAAACTGATTGTGTCTTAAACGTCCTCCGAAGAAGCGTGGAATGGCAGAGAAAGCGTGGCTTTTCTTCATCTCATCGCCAAGTAACGGTGACATGCCTTGGAAGAAAGCTTGGTGCTAATAAGCTATCGGGGGGAAGGGGGACAACTTGGTATTGTACGACCAAAAACTTGGGGGAATTTGGGGAAGTCTGCTGGATTCCATCTCGGTAAGTGGCACGATTCGGTGGTGCTTCCACAATTCATTCGCTGGCGTTGGCATTGGCAATGAAATCAGACATCATACATGATTTGAAATGATTGATCCACCATCGTGAAGAGTAAAAGCTTAAGTAACTCTCCCCCAAAATGTAAGATCTTACATCTTCACAACCAACGCAAGCAATTCAATACAATCGAGCTATGTACTACACGAGACTTTTAGCCATCAATCGGCACTCCACAAAACTCTTTCTTCTATTTCCTCCAAAGGGTCTCGTTCCGTCTTTCACCCATCATTCCATCAAATGGAAGACGGGAGATGCGGTCAGGGATATTTATCTCATCACTTAAACGGGAATGCAAAGAATGAGTTTTGTTCAATCCCGCATCGCATGTCCACCCTTACTCTAGCGGATAAATCCGGATATTCATGTAGGGAGCTCAAGATGGCAGGAGGAACATGGGACATACATATATCTGCAGCCCAGAGTTTTCTAGAGCAATGTAGTGACACCATACCAGCATACTCATAGGTGAGTACCTCCTAGTCATTGGGCATTCGCGGGGGGGAGGGGGGCCATTGAAATTTTAATGATAAGCGGAAAATACTACGTACGTCGGTCGCTTTACACATGTGATCATGACACCAAGGCATCAAATCAAATGTTCGTTTTGAGTACTAAAGGAAAGGAGAGGAAAGGAAAGGAGAGGAATCTTGGAAGCTGTTCATCTCATCGTATTCGTCGTACATATTCATCGGACATATGGATAGTACTTTTCGATGAACGAGAAAATGAGGAAACGAGGAATCGAGGAAGCGAAGGAAATGAAGGAAAATGAAGAATGAAGCCAAACAAGAGGCTTTTGGATGCGCTGCTTGAAGTGATCACAGGCGATTTTCAATTGTTGATTACTACTGCAGGTGGTGTACCTACCTAGGTACCTAGGTGTATATTTGTTCAACTTCACCCAGCTATCCACCCTCGAGCCACCTACCTAGGGCCTACATAGGCACCACGGACAGTGATTTACCCGCTTCCGAATCAACAGAAAATCGAACTTTCCCCAGCCACAGATAAGATCATCTTATGTGGCTCATGTTTTCATTTATGCAGGTGGCTTATGTAACATGGATTGATGGAGTTGGGAGGCTAGGAGAAATGAATTATGGATACTTGCACAGGTACATGAACCTTTTTGTTCCTTGCTTCCGAAATCTGTAAAATTTGTCTGAATGGGAGCATTATCCCCTTTATTAATGCCTACCTAGGTGCAGTCTTTTTAGATACTGCATGCATGATGTCGCTCTCAGATTCTTTGATGACTTCACTTCATGATAGATGCTCAGGTACTGGTGACGGTACCTAGGTATCATACATACTGACTGTGCAGTGAGTAGGTACAAGCTGACCGTTTGGATTTGGTCTGTCTTCCTCCTATTAAATACCTACCTACCTACTACCTACTCGCAGGGTCTTCTATGAAACGAATTGCGAATTCCAATAGCCATCCCGCCCAGATCTACAATCACAGGTACCCGCAAACCATGGAATATATCACATATGATGATATGCTGGAATCATAGCATATAGCATACGTTAGCAGCTGCGAGGTATCTCATATGCATACAATAATGACTCTTAAACGCGGGGTTAGCAGGAATTAGATTGTAATTTGATATGGCGAAGTGATACTACGAGAGATGTGCGTGCTGTGAGGCGAAATCGACCCTTATGATATGTACCTGTAATCTCTCTCTCGCCTCCTCTCACTTCTCACCTCTCATTGGGCACCCAGGTAACTCCGGCACTCCTTCACTCCTTCACTCCCTCCTTCACTCTCATCAATCTTCGACACGGGAATCTTCCAATTAGCTATACTTTTTCTTTATATACACCTCTCCACCTATTTTCGGTACCATTTTCAGGAGGGAGAGTCTTGGCATTTCACACCTAGCTCGTCTCGGTAATGCATAACTTCTTATTATAACTGATAATATGTACGATACATACAATAATATAATTGTAGTAAAAATTGATGATAATCAAACTGAAACATTTGGGTAAATAATCAACCTCTTTCAAGAATTTCATCAGAAAGTGATTCTAGATTGATTTACTACACACTGCACTTCATTCCGTACGAGAGTACCTAGACACCTAGATACCTATCGACCGACTTACTTACTACATATTATTATATCAATTACTGTCATAATACTTTCAATTCATTACGTTCTGCTCGATACATCCATCTATTTCTTTTAAACTTTCAAACCGCCTTTACGTTTCGAAACACTCCTTTCTTGATTCCCATTAGAAAAAAGTCTCTTCTTAATGACCTACTGGTTGAAAAGTCGATCCTCCTAATCAGCCCCCGTGCTAAGGCTCGACTGTCATTTCGTTATTTGGTCTCCTAACCTTGAGAAAAAAGCAACCCTGGAAACAACACGAGAACTGCTTGAATCGCTCGATTCTTTTGGACCCTATAATCATTATTCGGTGCTCTTTTGCCACATTCACTCCCTTTTAAACACTTAGATGTGGCAGAGCAATCTTGCTGGGTTTCATTTGGATGTTAATCGTAATCTCTGTGCTCGTGCCTGTCACAAATCATCTCATAAAGTGGTAATTAAATAAACCACCGTCAGAACCAGATTTATTATTCTCGAGAGGTCTGCGACCTCACGATACAATAGAGACATGACGCGCCCGGAAATCATTCGCGCTGGTTCGTTCTCAAATGTCTCACCCGTTCCCTTCCATGATAACTGATTTTATAGATTCAATTGACCTTCAAGACCCAAATGCCCCATCGGCGCAAGACCATTCGAAGAAACATGCAAACACCGCACCGTTAGGCACGGGGCCGCCTGCTCCACACCAGGCCGAAGCATTGCGGGAAGTCGCAGCAGAAGTCGCAGACGAACAACATAGAAGTCCAAGGGTTTCAAGAGAATGGGCCAATGGCGAAGGGCAAATGATACAAGATTATACGAGTGACGATTCGGCTGCTGGAGGGAACGCTGCAATGAATGGAAACAATCAACAAGACGATTTGGCAATTGCTCAAAATGGCGGGTTGTCAGGTTCTGGGGGCGAGGATGGAGACATGGCGGATGCTGAGGGAGACGATAGCATGGATGATGACATGATGGACAAGATCTCAAGCTCCCCGTCAATCGACGATGGTGGGTATTCTCTTCCAAAAATATGGCCTTCTAGGTCCGACTCCCTTTCCCGGGCAAGCTCCTCGTCGTTTTCACAAGCGTGCGGCGAAAGTTCATCCCCTTTCGTGGAGCCACCCACTTTCTTTCCATTACAGCCTATGAGCGACCAGCTAGATATGGACCTGAGCCAGGTGGCCCACGAAATTCAATATCATCATCATCATCTAGGTGAGTATCTTGACCGAGCGAATAGTACTACGTCCAACTACGACACCGATGCGCCCATACCAGTGACTCCGGAAAAGTACGGGCCTTACGTGGAGAAACATGACCAGGAATATAATGAGGAGTATTTTCATGACCAGCTCACAGCAATGCATGATTCGGACCAGGATATTGCCCAGACTTCGGCTTTCGATCCTTACGAATACGACGAGGCAATGACCATACCATACGAAAGTTCCGAAGACGAGAAGGACCTATTTTACGAGGATGATGATGATGATGATGATGATGATGATGATATTCCATATGCTGCTGACTCTAGATTTGTTGATTCCGGATGGGGTGGAGAGTGCTTACAAGAATCAGAGGACATCGATTTCGAATTCGTCTACGCGCTCCATACCTTTGTCGCTACAGTAGAAGGCCAAGCCAATGCAACTAAAGGAGACACAATGGTTTTACTAGACGATAGTAACAGCTATTGGTGGCTCGTTAGGGTAGTCAAGGACAGCAGTATAGGTAAGTCATATCACCAGTTATCTCCACCATGATCACTAACACTCTTGCCAATCACAGGTTACTTACCAGCAGAACATATCGAAACGCCTACTGAGAGATTAGCTCGACTTAACAAGCATAGGAATATTGATGTACGTGACATTCTTTGGAGTTTCGAAATATTACTAACGTGAACAGCTTACGTCGGCCATGTTGGGAGATCAAGCAGAGAAGTCAAAGAACCCCCTGAAGAAAGCAATCCGACGAAGGAATGCCAAAACTGTGACATTTACGGCGCCAACATATGTTGAGGCTTCTGATGTTGACTACTCTTCTGACGAAGATGACGGCGATGGAGGATTTTACGGGCAACAAGAACAACAAACTGAACAGCAAAAGCAGACCGTTGAGGATGACGAGATTGCTGCAATAGAGCCACTCAAACCGCGCAATGAACTTCGCGAAGTCAAATCTGAAAGTCCAGAACGTGATAATTCAAACGTCAAATCCAGCTTGGACACAACTAGGAGCAGTGACGAGATTCTTGAAGGAAAGTCGGAAGGTAGCAAATCTAGGAATGGTACTCTACGCAACACGGATTCATTCTTCAAAGATGATACAGTGGAAACTCGGAAAATTACACTTACACCAAATCTGCTTCGCGACGATTCTAGCACTTCGACTCGAACCTCTAATGATTCAGAGAAACTGAAGCAGAGGCCGAGCCTCGATAGACTTGAGAAAGATCTTGTGTCAGACAAACTTAAGGACAAAAAGGACAAGAAGGAGAAGAAAGAGAAGGAAAAGAAACCAGGAATGCTTAGCGGGCTTTTTAAACGAAAAGACAAGAAATCGAAGCACCAAGATGATGACCTCGAAGATTCAATTTCATCAAGCAAACATTCAAGCGAGAATCGTGCATCATCTCCATCCCCTAGCAAAGACTCAGATCTTGCATCTGTCGAAGAATCGAGCCCAGAAGCGCAAAAGCATCCTGGTAAGTTACAAAAACAACCGCGACCGGAAACGTCACCAAGTCGAAAGCAAAGCGCGAGGGAAGCAAGGTCGATAGAACCACAACTTGCAGCGATTTCCGAGCGCGCAATTGCAGCCGATTCGGCACCCGGGCTTTCATTGCGTTTGGTACAGCCTGAGCCACAAACAACGGCCTCGAATCAGCAGGAAGCTCCCAGTTCACCCACTGTTCCGAGTCCTAAGTCACCCGGGCCAATATCCAAGATCTTGCAGTCCGCAATTTCTAGCAGTTCAGAGCCCAAACCTGTCAAAGCCAAGAAGGCAAAGGCCCGAGTCGAGTTGGATGATTTTGATTCAACTTCTGAAGAGTCCGAAGCTGAAGAGCCTATTCGTTCTTCAGGTGAACAGGCTCAACGACCTATTCCAGGTAGCTTCCCAGATAGTTACATCGCCACTCCTGCAACGGAAAATCGTAATGCGATGGAAGAGAGATTGTCGGAATCTCCAGTACAAGTTTCTCCAATTACACCGACGAATTCTCATCCACCAGCACTCATGGTAGATACGTCTAGTCAAGAAGAGCCACCGTCACCGATGTCGTCATCACATTCACCTTCGCCTGACCTGATTGACAATGACGATGTTAAGAAGGGCACTGGCAGCTCTACCACTTCAGCATCAACACCTACGTGGAGTGACTCGCATCTTAGAACATTCTTTGATGATGACACAGATATTAGAGATTTATTAGTCGTTGTCTACGACAAATCAGGAGTAGTACCAGCAGGATCAGATCATCCAGTTGTGGGTAATCTTTTCAAAGAAGAGAATGCCAAATTGGCGGATATAACCAACGTGAGTTTTTGATGAACGTGGAAACAAAATTACATTATACTGACTATATTATAGCGCTTGGATGGAATGCTTGGTGATTGGTTAGCTCGCAAAATGAGGACACAATCTTCAAGATGAACGCTCCATAAAATTGTATATCTTACATGAATCAATGAATTTATGATGAGGCCGGACTGGTTTGGGCACAATTTCTGGCGCTACTGGGAAAAGGAGGGTTGGTTTGGCAATGGGGGAGGGGATACCTTATACCACAACATTGGATCTTTGAAAGATTTGTTCATTCAGCATTGGCAAGGACACCTTGTACATAGTCCTTCTTGCATTGTCGGCTTGTTATTTTTGATTCTGCTTTTTTTTCTACTTTTATAATGCTCTTGATGAGTCTATATATCAAAAGATTACTTTTATTCGCGGTTACACGCAAGGTACACACATACACATGATGTAGTATGAAACTTTTCGTCCACTTCGGTAAAACCTGAATTGATCTTGATTCAAGTACTGCATTACATGCATTGTTTTTTCTGTAGGTGATGTGCATGAAGTGATGATATTTACACCATGTAGTCGTCAAATAAGCAAACAAACGGCGACTATCGCGCGAATTGCAGCTATTTCTTAGTACTAATGAGATGATGATGAAGATCAATACCTCTTTACATTAAATACTCTGAGGATATTTATGGGGCCGTTCCCCTAGGTATATTTTAACGCTCGCGAATCCAAATTAGGGAATGGCCAATTAATTTCTCCGAAGTACTATTCGTTGGTTAATGTGTAGATCCTAGTTTGAAGTAATGTCATGATTTCATTGGATATTGTATGCTTCTGTTTGTGGCTGGTTGGGTGGGAATTGGAGAGGAAATTAGAAGGTCGTTCATTTATTGTTGTTATATTGGACGCAAACATTATACACGGAGGTAATGTTACCAACTTACCATACTCGTAGGGCAAATTACAGCCGTGATATGGTGCTACTTGTTCCCACACACTCTCAGTGATAAATTCCTCCCTACTTTTCTAGACAATCTGATGTCAGCTTTTCTGGCTTTCAGATGTGTGATACCAAAGTTGTTTTGAATACTACCATTGACGGTCATCTAATTCTGATACATTTTCACCCTCATAGGACGACACTACTCCCATTTGAGGCATTTACTCATTTCATCCACTGAGAAACCCGTTAAGCCGCCCGCTTCACTCTGAACCATCGATGATTACTTTGTGCTCACTCTGCGACCCAGCTCATCAGCCATAAAAAGAAAGGAAGAAAGCTAACTTACCGGCGAACCCACCAGCGGCTTCTTACTCCTACATACTCCATAGATTTAAGCGCAGAGCTTTGACCTCGCCTTCATAGAAGGTTAAGCGACTTCATCTGCACCTACGATTCTTGTAAGGAACTTGGTTTGAATCGCCGCGACAAAGCCTTTTGCTCTATTTTGCGCAACATTACCATTTTTCTTTTGAAATATAATTATGGCATTCGAGTCCGGCACCGCATATCCGGAATCTGATGCGGACGACGAGTACGAGAGAAGTGTGCATAACAGTTCCCCGGTCCTCGCCAACGATTCAGAGGATTCCGATGGCCTTTCTTCCAGCGAACACACCCCAACTACGTATGGTAACCATGGCATCATGGATTCTTTACCAGATTCTATCATAACGGAATGGACCGCAGATGATTGCGCCGATTTTGTAGGTAGTCTGGGACTGCGGCAGTATGGCGATCAATTCTTAGGTATGCTTTAAAGCAATATTGGTTGTCCTTAACCTCTTATCTAATTGAGTGGGATAGAAAACGAAATTGTTGGGGAAGCATTGGTGGCATTACAGCATACCGACCTAAAGGAGATGGGAATAGCAAGTGTGGGACATCGACTCACAATTCTGAAGAACGTTTACGACATCAAGATTAAGCAAGACGTGCCTATTGAGAGTGACCACTATGTGCCACTTTGTGAGTTGGTCGATTGGATGGTACCGAATAATCAAACTGACTTCATTTGCAGCAGCGGACGCCGAGGCCCAGTATGCCACCGCGACACTCAAAGACATCAAAAATCTTGTCGAACAATTACGATTACGAGACGAACGAATGAGCGTTGCAGAGATGGAATTACGAAGGCTGACGTCTGAGTACACTCGATTGAGGGAAGATCTCTTACCGGTATTTCGAATGCATAAGGAAGGGCAGCCTTTGCCATACCATCCCCCTGGGACCAACAATCAAAGCCTATATTCTTACGATAATAACAATACGATATCACCTCCTGCACCTACACCCTCTTCAAGTCAATCAGGTGGGCTCTCGCGGAAGTTCTCAACAAAAAAGCTGTTTCTGGAATCAACGCCAAAGAATGCGTCTCCTACTTTCAATTTACAATCTAGCCAGGATAGATCTATGATGGAACACGCTCTTGATCCTGCAAATGCTGCCGAGCGGGCAGTCCTCTCTTCTTCACACCTCAATGCTATGAATAACGGCTCTCAATCACTGTCACCTGGACAACCTTCGCCCAATCAACCCTCTCCGACTTCCCCTCCTTCCCATATGAGTGGATCCACTTTAGCTTCACGCTCGTACCGATCCGATCAACAACCTACACCAGGCCGCAGCAATTTCCCTCAGAACGACAACGACCAATATCCTCCATCGACATACTCTCGCGACAGTACCAAACCAGCACCCTCACGGCGAGCCCAAACACCGGCCCTTGAACCACCTTCTGGTGGGGGTGGTGCCTCAGTCGAAATATTCAAATCATTCCGCGTCAGTATGGAAGACCCATGCTACAAGGTTTTACCTGCTGCATTAAAAAAATACAATATCAACGCACCCTGGGAACAATACGCTTTATACATCGTCTATGGGGATAAAGAAAGATGTTTGGGTATGGAAGAAAAACCGCTGATTCTCTTTAAACAATTGGATAAGGAAGGCAAAAAGCCTATGTTCATGTTAAGAAAAATCAGCCCCAATACGGAACCTGGCATACAAGATGTCCCTGGAAGCGCAGGTCTGGACGGTAGAAATGGTGGTCGCGGTGGAAACAATTCCATATACGACCCTCCCGGCGGCATTATATGATCTAATCGAACATTTGGATTGGACATTATTTCTTGGAGTTGCTGCACTGGTTTACACTGCATAGCGAAAGTAGGCGATATCACCAATTTTTGGGATAGTGTATGTGTATTGGAAACGGAATTTTGGAGATTACAATTCAGGGTCAATCCAGTTTATTATTTTTTCGGCTAGCTAGCTGTTTTGGTATCTTTTGGTCATATTTTTATATGAGGCGTATCATGAGATGAATGGTTGAATACTCGGTTTTTGGTCGAATTTGACTGTGGAAGGGAGTTCTTGGATGAAACTCGTGGTTGGGACATACGGGTAGCCGACAGGGACAAGTCAACCTTGGGACATTTTCCTTGGGCAAAGCTGAGAGGGGCTGGGTTGGCTTGCGTGGAAAAGGAACACTAGGAAATAGGAAGACATTTAAATCAAATGAAGACGATTTATTATTGGATATCCGGCAGAAATCTACAGAGATTTACAGAGATTTATCGATTGACGACTTTTCTGTCTTGACTTGAGTTTTTAGTTAGGTTTCATGTTGATTCGTAGGGATTAATATTCGACTAATTGATTTAGGTATCTTGTCTAACAGGTAGCCAGCCTTGAAGCATTTGATAAACATTTGCAGACCCTCTCGTATAATACGTGGAGAAAGCCTATCTAGATGCAATCGGAAACTGCTGGATACCTAGGTACTTTTAATCAGTGTGCGAAGCCTCCCTCGGGTAGAAGAGTACGTAACCTGAGTATAACATCATCGAGAAACAAATTTCGAAGCAGCGAATGAGCATGCTTATTAACTTCCTTGTGACGATATCAATGCTATCTGGTGTACGATATACGAGGGCGTGTCTTTGATGAATGCCGGGTCCGTGCGCAAGCACTTTTTCACACCAAAATTTACCCAAACTCACTCATTTTAAAATTCAATATTAAATCAATCAATATTATTATATATTTGAAATTTTATAAAAGTAATAAATTTTTATTTAAAATCTAATAATATAGGTTTAGTTTTTTTATTAAAGCTTTCAATTAAATCAAAATTTATATTGAATTTTTATACTTAAAATATTTATAAGAAATAATATTTATTTTAAGAATCAAATTTCTATATAGAATTTTATTATCAATTCAATTCAAAAATTAATAAATCTAATATCAAATCAATTATTAATCAATTTTCTTTATACAATTCAAATTTCAAAGTTTTATAATAAATATTTGAATTACTATTCATTTATAAATATATAAAATAAAGCATAGTTTTGATAAGGAAATTCGCTTAAATTTCAGTCCGGCATTCATCAAAGACACGCCCTCGTATAGAGAGAAGCTTATATAAGCAAATCGATTACAAGACTAAAGGATCAACGATGTAAAAATAGAAATTGGCTATGGGGATAACGATACCGAAACCTAATCGAACCAATAAACGTTTATAAAGCATGGAATTGTTTGCAGATCTGATTCATCAAGGAATATTCCAAGACATCTTCTTTACTCTGTACAATGGTTTACGCGTGGTGAATGCATGTGAGCGGGAAGGCTCAGCCTCATCTACGGGCACTTCAGATACTTCATAGCCCTGTGAAAAGGGTAATGGATATCCACCTTGCGCATTTGAGTTGATATGTTAAGGTTGCTGGTAGGTATATATCATACACATCCATATCATATTAACTCTGTACGAATCGTATTCGCAGCGGTGCCGAGATTTATCAGATCTGCCTAGCTACTACTACTACTATACTAATTCTGCTCTGTGTTTCAGAGTGATAATCAAGAAACCTCCAACACATCATCCCTTTACCCATTTGCTTCTGAACGATTTGAAAAGCCTTGAAAGCCCAACCACACACATCCTGTAGCCTGCCCCCCTCCCCCTCAACTCCATCAAATCATCATGCTTGACGAAAACCTCCCCACCTTCTTCTTCAAAGCATCGACCGATACCCCTCTCTCCACACCCATCTTCCTCCGTCAAGATGGCTCCGACCTCCAACCCGAATACCTCTTCCGCAGACCCGACCCCAATCTGGCCGCCTCGAAAAATTGCTACGCCGTCGCCCTCTACGATTCCTGCAACCCGGACGTCCTCTATGCCGAAGTCTTGGTCCAGCCCGAATGGACGCAGCCCACTCTCTCCCAGGCCGAAGTGCGCGCGCAGAATGGCATTCCTCCCCCGCCCGTCCCCATCGTGCCGAATGCTTTCACTATCCAATTGTACAATCCGGATCAGCAGGTGCTGGTGAAGCAAATCGCGGGGTCGTGGAATAGTTCGGCGTATTGGGAATTCGAGATGCCGCAGATTAGTTTCCGGGCCCCGTCGGCGTCGGCGCTCGATCGCAGTCAGAGCGATCCGGCCTTCTCGGTGCTCACGCCGA